CTCTCGTGCAATTGCAGCACATGGCTCATACTCTGCTGTAGCTGTCACCTGCCGAAAAAAAAAAAAAAAAAAAAAATCAAACAAACAAACGTGCTCAGTCACGGACCACTGTGCGAGACTCTCAACAAACAGGAAGATACGGACTTACCAGCTTTCCCTGCAGGTATCCGGCCTTGACCGGCACCCATCCCCAGGGCGTGAGAGCACTCTCCATCAGCCTCTGCATTGCCACACGCTCGCATGGCACTATGCGCACTCCCAAAGTGGTCGTCTCCTGTAACGCAGGATCAGGGAAACAGGAGCACAGGATCGATCTTGGCCAAACAGCACCTTCAACATCCTTCATGAATCTTCCGCCGGCTCACCAGTTCATAAAGAGGACGATGTGCTAAATGCACAGTGAACACAGTGCGTACTAAGCACATACAGTACGAGCGACGGAGATGAGTAACAAGTGATACATTATCAGGAGAAATGAAAAAGAAAAAAGGACAAATACACGTACATTGAGAATGATAGATAGCATATCGTCGCACTGGCTACGATCGCATAGCACATGCAGCACCACGCCAGGCCGCCCTTTCTTCATGATGGCCTGTGTGTGTGGGGAGGAGAAGGCACGGAGTGCGATGGCGGTGGCTCTTTTGAGGCGCACCGGCTACGATCGCAAAGCAGATGCAGCACCATGCCTGGCCGCCCTTTCTTCATGATGGCCTGTGTGTGTGGGGAGGAGAAGGCACGGAGTGCGATGGCGGTGGCTCTTTTAAGGCACAGCAGATGCATGACAGTGTGCTTATAGGCACATGCTTATTTCATCACGCCCGACCTGCATTGACTCACACTAGGCTTGCAATGACCAGCATTGAATGATATTGGACAGGTTTGACTCGAGTTGACCATCCAGACATCACGAGCGCCCGCTGACAGCAGCAGGTCCGAAACATAAGCCATCTGCCCGTTGACTAGGATAGACCCCTATATTAGCCAGCGTGACTCACGTTGACCAGCGTTGACTCACATTGACCATCCAGACATCACGTGCGCCCGCAGACAGCAGCAGCTCCGAAACATAAGCCATCTGCCCTGGGGGAGTGGGGGGTATGGGGAGAGGGAGGGGGAGAAAGGGGAAAAGGGCGGTAGGGTTGGGGGTAAAAAGGGACTTGGGTTGCGAGATAAGACTTGGAGGAGACATTTCAGACGCACGGAGAGGGGAGCAACAGGCTACAGGATAGAGTGTACGGATAAAAGAAAAAGGCTAGAGGTTCGTAGTGCAGGAAAAAGAAGGTGAAATGATAAGCAAACGAATGGATTAAAGAGGAGACTCACGATTTGTGGTGTGATGTCGTCAATGTTCGTTTCTAGGGTTACCAGCTGCTCAACTGTCATTCCGCCTTCGCCAGGCGGGCCGCCACCGCCTCCCATCGCCGCTCTAGGCATAATATATATTTTACGGCTCACAGCATATCCAGCCAATTTCGCCCCGCTGTAAACGCCAGAGTTGACCGTGGTACGCGGAGACGACCATTGGTAATTGTTGCGAATCCTGGCGGTAGCATCGCAGATGTCTTTGCTGGCGAAGAAAGCGCTGCTTCGTTTGCTGCTGCTTCCGTAAGTGCATTTTATCGTGCTGCGGTTCCCGTTGCTGGCAAGGGAAGAAGGACTGACTATGCGGAGGGGCGAACCTAGTTTACTGGCGCAAGCCATGGCTGTGAGGTGGTAGGGTGGCTGGAATTAGGGCGAATTGAGGAATTGGATTGTATGGGGACAAATTCGGCCGAAATGGTGAAATCAGCGAGCGGACGTCGCAAAAATCGTTTGATGACGGTGAGCATCGGTTTGTCAGGTTTTAGAGCGTTCGATAAAGAAAAACTGAAGGGCCTGGAGCTAATATGCGCTATTGGATGCTTCGCGTTTGTGAATTGAGGAAGGTAACATGGAGATAAACCAAAGTGGTAAATCTGGGGTGACCCGTGATGCAACTTGTTTGATGCGATGGTAGTTTCCCAACTGAAAACACCCTTGATATTTCTGCTGTGTAGTCAGCCGTCACGTCATGGTCGCGTCGCCCGCCCCCATTCGAAGTTGCCAAACCAAACCTGCGCCTGCTGGCCCGTCCAAACCAGGCCGAAGCGCAGAAGCAGGTCAGCGTAGCTGCCCCTCTTCCCCAGCTTCCCCGTACCACCACCCGAGCTATGGCGCCTAATCGCCGCTTCTTCCGAACCGAACAGCTCCCTAGTCTCGACGCCGAGCCAAGCCGGCTTATCCAGTCGCATCGCATCTACTTTCCGCCTTTCAAAGCCGCAACCCCAACTACCCAATGAATTATTACACCGTACTGGATTCCCCTGGAAATTCGTTCAGACATGCGAAACGTACACGAACCGGATGATATTGCACATCAAACTTGGTTATTGGTACTTCTCAAACCGCGATCCAATCAAGACTTGAGTTCCCTTCACAGGGATGGATGGCTGGCTGGCTGTGCCCCCCGTTCGCTTCCACCACCATCCGCCATAGCCCGTCGCTGGCATTGAAGATTTTTGGATTTCAGCAAGTTTTTCTTCAGGCCGCTCGCTGGTCGGCATCTGGCGCTTTAGTGTCTCTCACCGCGTCTTTTGGCTTCCCTATCTTTAGACTTATCGGAACACGTTTCAGAAGTTGGTTGACTGGAGGTGCTGGGTCGATTGTTGACGTGACTTCGAGCCAGCTCAGATTGAGTCTGCTTTTGAGGCGCCTCAAAAGTCTACTCTTCCCTGAGCGCTGGTCGCACGATTCATGAAGGCAAACGAAAGGCACTAGGAAGGGCCCTGTACTTCTGTCGTGTTGGTTATTGTGTTCGTGAAATCCTCGCACCGGCGCGAAGCTTCGATTCCACACTGAGCCTTCCCGCACTGGTGTTTCTCGGTTTAGCCAGACTCGGTTCTGTCTCCCTCATCACTTTGACATTCTGAAGGATACACCGGGCCTTCTCGCTGGAACGTTCACCTGACAGCACTCAGCTAGCGCCGTCTAGCCGTCCATGCGTTTATAGAGAAAAGTCCGTTGCGGCTCAACAATCGGTGTTTCTCGGCGGTTTAACCAGACTCGGTTCGGTCTCTTTCATCACTTTAGCGTTCACCTGACAGCACTCAGCTAGCCGTCTAGCCGTCCATGCGCTTGTAGAGAAAGGTCCGTTGCGGCTCAACAATCGTGAAACAACTGATCAACGGACAGCACTAACAATGACGCATTCCGTTGCAACTGGGGGGAACGGCGAAGGCGGGAGAAACGGGGACGCCGCCACGTGGCGCGGTGCTGACGGAAACATGTCGGAGATCCCAAGGTCCGCTGATTGGTCAGCCGTCGTCGGGGACCTTCATGCTCGAATCAATTCGCATTCGCACCGTTGCTGTGATTCTAACGGTGGTGATAATACTGAGCGTTGCGACGATGTTACTTCTTGTACCGGATGCTGTGAGGAGCGAAGGGGGGCGATGTGGTCTGGTCTGAAATGGCAGAAAGCCACGTCATCAGTCGCTGCAGTTTCCGCGAAGGTCGCGGGGTTCTTGCTGCTGGTTTTGCTCGTGTGTTGCTGGCAGCTTTTGTCGGGACCTGAGGGTTACATGGTAGGGGTGAATCGTGAGATTCTGGGCGGCGAACTGCATGTGGTGAGTCAACGAGGGTCGGCCCGGAGGGAGCTGCCGAGCCTTACTTTCCGAGGCTCATCGCCAGGCTCGGCGGATGGAGAAGAAGCTGGCTCGGGTGATGATGGTTCAGCTGAGGTGCTGTCTACTGCAGATGAAACGGTCAATGACATGCCCGTTTCAACTAGTGACACACTGGAAGAAGTTGAAACACTTTCAGACGAGTCTTTATCCGGCGATGAACCATCTTCAATGACTGAGACGTTGACTGAGACCGTTTCAAATAACACGTTTACGGATTTGGACTTACCTGAGACGGTTCTGTCAAGATTCGACGGACATATGACAACTGAACCTTCCAGACCTGCCGAGCCTTCCAACCCGAACTTAAACCTTCCACCATCATCCCTGTCAGATTCGGAGCTAGCCTCGGTACCAGGTTCGGCAGTTTTCGATCCAACGGGGCTCTCCACCTTGACGGCATGCTTGGAGGTGCTGAAGCTCGCTGCCGAAGCTAACCCGGAGGCTCGGCGTCTGGAGGATTCTGGCTTGGAAGCTGAGATACAGGCGTGGGTGGGAAGAAGAGGGGCTGGGGACGAGGGGAAAGCAGCAGGAGAGGGAGAGGAGCTAGCAGGAAGAGCTAAGTTTACAACAGAAGCAGAAACAGAAACGGGGGCAGGGACACGTGTGGCCTATGAATGCAGAGCACTGATTCGGAGAGGTCTGGGGCACCTTGCCGATCTTGCAGCTGCCCGGGATACCAGCAGAGTCGACGTCTCAGCTGCCCGAGAAAAAGACGCGGAGGAGGGTTCAGCTGCCCGACAAGATCGGTCGGATGATGTACAGAGTGAAGCAGTGTGCAGCGATGCATGGGAGAGAAGACTCCATGCTCGCCTGTCTGAGGAGAGTCAGAAGCGCCGCTCCCAACGCCGCTTGTCCCGCTTTCATGCGCCTCCAGATGACCTCAAGCGTCAAGAGGGACACACACGCACTCGACGCCTCTTGTCCGTTTCTAAGGCGCGTTCAAAGAAAGATGGGGGTCATGGCGAGGGCCGAACCCGAAGCCGGTTGTCGTCAAAGGAGGGCCCCTCCGGTTCCGCACGTAATGGTAGCTGGAGCTTGGTTCACCTCTCAGAGCCTGTTCAACCTTCCGAGCCTGCACAGCCTTCCGAGTCTGTCCAGCCTCCCGAGCCTCCGCAGGCTCGGCATATACTCTTGGCTCTCCGGAGCAACAAGACGAGTGTGGAGCGAGTGAGGGAGGGGGTGAGGCGAGTGTGTGAGAGAGTGAGGGAGACAGAGAAGGAGCTGCTTCGATTGCCTATGCAGACAAGCAGCAGCAGCAGCAGCAGCGGCAGCAGCAGCAGCACAGATAGTAGCATGGGACCAGCAGCAGCTTCGGATCTCTTGGCAGCATCTGGGGGAGGTGCTACCTGGCCCGAGTCCTGCTGGCCCATACCTCACGTTCCATTCTCCAGCCCCAAGGTATGATACCCTCTGCTCCCTGATCTCTCTCGTTGGCTTTTGCGAATTCTCAAATACCCCCTATTCCCTGCTCCCTCTGGTTGGTTCAATCGTCCAGGCGAGTTCCCCGAGATCACAAAACTGCTAAATCATTCCCTTAGATTACCGAGTTTGAGACGTCTCAATCATTCCCCAAGAGCTCACCCACCCACCCACCCCTTCACCAATCCGCGTTTCTTTGAGACGTCTCATAAATACCCTTTTTACACGTAGCTTCTCTCGTTACTGAGTTTTAGACGTCTCAATCATTCCCCAAGAGCTCACCCACCCACCCACCCACCCCTTCACCAATCCGCGTTTCTTCGAGACGTCTCAAAAATACCCTTTTTACACGTGGCTTCTCTCGTTACTGAGTTTGAGACGTCTCAATCATTCCCCAAGAGCTCACCCACCCACCCACCCCTTCACCAATCCTTCCACTCCAACCCCCTCCAACCCCACCCACTCCCACCCCCTCCAACCCCACCCACTCCCACCCCCAATTACCCCTCAGGTGTTCACTAATCCTCGTTTCCTCGTGCTCGCATTCGCCATGGAGAAAACGAGCAACGCCAGGTCCCATTTACTGGAAGCAGCCCGGCTTGCAAGGCTGACGGGGCGGGTGCTGGTGCTGCCCCACGTGGGCAGCAGCCGCTTGTCAGTGGGGCGACCACTGGGCGGGCCTCTTGTGCCTCACCCATCTTCACCCATCCTTACCCAACCCCATCCACTTCTTCCTCCCATCCCACTCCCTCAGGTGTTCGCCAACCCACGTTTCCTCGTCCTCGCATTCGCCATGGAGCAGACAAGCAACGCCAGGTCCCATTTACTAGAGGCTGCCCGGCTTGCACGGCTGATGGGGCGAGTGCTGGTGCTGCCCCACGTGGGCAGCAACCCAGTGCCCTCATTTCCCCCATCCCCACCCATCCCCACCCATTTCTACCCCCATCCACCCCTCAGGTGTTCGCCAACCCGCGTTTCCTGGTCCTCGCATTCGCCATGGAGCAAACCAGCAACGCCAGATCCCATTTACTGGAAGCAGCCCGGCTGGCGAGGCTGACGGGGCGAGTGCTCGTGTTGCCCCACGCGGGCAGCAGCCGCCTCTCAGTGGGGCGGCAGCACCCCCTCTGCTCCTACTACTAGACGCAGCCAGGCTCGCTTACAGCTTCACTCCTTCCCCTCCTTCGCCTCCTTCCCCTCCAACCCCACCCATCTACCCCCACCCATCTACCCCGCAGGTGTTCGCCAATCCACGTTTCCTGGTGCTGGCATTCGCCATGGAGCAAACCAGCAATGCGAGGTCCCATCTGCCCGAGGCGGCCAGGCTGGCGAGGCTGATGGGGAGAGTGCTGGTGGTGCCCCACGCGGGCAGCAGCCGCCTCTCAGTGGGGCGGCAGCACCCCCTCTGCTCCTACTACTACTGGACGCAGCCAGTCCCACAGCTTCACTCCTTCCCCTCCTTCCCCCCCAACCCCACCCATCTACCCCGCAGGTGTTCGCCAATCCGCGTTCCCTGGTGCTGGCATTCACCATGGAGCAGACAAGCAACGCCAGGTCCCACTTACTAGAGGCTGCCAGGCTGGCGAGGCTGACGGGGAGAGTGCTGGTGGTGCCCCACGTGGGCAGCAGCCGCCTCTCAGTGGGGCGGCAGCACCCCCTCTGCTCCTACTACTACTGGACGCAGCCAGTCCCACAGCTTCACTCCTTCCCCTCCTTCCCCCCCAACCCCACCCATCTACCCCGCAGGTGTTCGCCAATCCGCGTTTCCTGGTGCTGGCATTCGCCATGGAGCAGACAAGCAACGCCAGGTCGCATTTGCTGGAAGCTGCACGGCTTGCAAGGCTGACGGGGCGAGTGCTGGTGCTGCCGCACGTGGGCAGCAGCCGCCTCTCAGTGGGGCGACAGCACCCCCTCTGCTCCTACTGGGACCTCTCCCGCCTCACTCACTCCTACCCTCATTCCTCCTCCTACTCCTACTCCTCCCCTCACTCCTCCAACTCCTCCTCTCACAACTCCTCTCACTCCTCTCAAAACAATTCCTCCTCGCTCCCTCCGTCCTCGCTCCCTCCCTCCTCGCCCCTCCTCTTCCCCCTCCCATCGCACCTCCCTGTGGATTGGGTATCGCCTGACCTCTTCCTCCTCCTCGCCCGCTCCTCCCTCCGACCCACCCCCTCTGTTGGCTTCATGTGTGTCGAAACACCCTCGCTCAACCGACCCTGCTTCGACTTCGGTAAGGCTTTCTACTTTTCTCCCCTTCACCCTCCCATCGCACCTCCCTGTGGATTGGATCTCGCCTGACCTCTTCCTCCTCCTCGCCCGCTCATCCCTCCCCGCTGCACCATCTGTCGGCTTCATGTGTGTTGAAACACCCTCACTCAACCGACCCTGCTTCGACTTCGGTAAGGCTTTATACTTTTCTCCCCTCCCCCCTCCCATCGCACCTCCCTGTGGATTGGGTCTCGCCTGACCTCTTCCTCCTCCTCGCCCGCTCCTCCATACCACCCAACCCCTCTGTTGGCTTCATGTGTGTCAAAACACCCTCGCTCAACCGACCCTGCTTCGACTTCGGTAAGCTTCTTGTCGTTAAGAGTCTAACGTCCCTTCCCAGTCAAGTTTTGAGGCGCCTCAAAAGTAGGTAAGCCTCTTAACGTTAAGAGCTTAACGTCCCTTCCCAGTCCAGCAATTCCCCCCTTGACGTGATACCTCCCTCTGACACACCTGCAGGGTAGGTAGTATCTGGGCCTGGTGCGATCCTCGCCTACTCCCACGGTCAGCTCTGATAAGTCTCAAACGCTATTCGAATTCCCACACGCACCTCCCTCCCACTGTCCCTGCCTCTATCTCCCTCGCTCCCCCCACACTGCAGGGGAGGTAGTATCTGGGTCAGGTGCGATCCTCACCTACTCCCAAGGCCAGCTCTGACCATTCCTTCTCAGGTCTCTCATCTCTCGCTTTCTCTTCCTCCCTCTCTCCCCCCCACCACAGGGGAGGTAGCACCTGGGCTCGGTACCATCCTCACCTATTCCCTCGGCCAGCTCTGAGAAGTTTCATGTCACTACGCTACTCCCCACTCAGGTCCCCCTCTCTCTCTCCCCCCCACCACAGGGGAGGTAGCATTTGGGCTCGGTACCATCCTCACCTATTCCCTCGGCCAGCTGTGATCTATACGAGGTGACTTTTGAGTCGACTCAAAAGTCACCTCCGTACCATCCTCACCTATTCCCTCGGCCAGCTGTGATCTTTACCTTCCTATCCACTCTCACCTCCCCCTCTCTTTCTCTTCCTCCCTCTCCCCCACACACCACAGGGGAGGTAGCATCTGGCCTGGGTGCCATTCTCACCTATTCCCTTGGCCATCTGCCCACGCGTGCCAACACTCAAGTCATCACAGTCCGCAAAGCCTCTAGGTTCCTCAAAGCCTTCCAGAAGTGGTAAGCCTTTCCAAAAATGTCAACTCTTTAAGAACTTTGTAGCACTTTCTCTGAAGTCATCACAGTCCGCAAGGCCTCCAGATTCCTCAAAGCGTCCCAAAAATGGTAAGTCTTTCCAAAATAGTAACCCTTTCCAAAAGCGGTAACCCTTTCAAACATGGTAAATCTCTCTAAAAGAGGCTCTATGGTGATCGTATGCCTCTTTGAAGAATGACCCCTCCAAAGAATATGTTCCACTCCATCCCACTCCACCCCACCCCACCCCACCCCACCCCACCTCTCTCCACCACATCAAGGAACAAATGAACGTGGTGGTGTGGGTGAAAATAGCCTACAATAAGACTACCATCCGCCCGCCCACCTCCCTCCTTATTAACCCACCCACCCCACTCTGCCCCACCCCCCTCTGCCCCACCCCAATCCGCCCCACCCTTCTGCCCCATCCCACCCCACCCTACTCCACTCCACCACACTGCATTCCACCTTATCTCATCTCTCTCCACCGCATCAGGGAACACACAGACGTGGTGGTGTGGGTGAAAACGACCTACAAGAAGATTTCCATTTGCCCGCCCACCTCCCTCCCTCCTCATTTACCCCTCCCCACCCCACTCTGTCCCACCCAACCACACTCCACCCCTCTCCATCGCATATCAGGGAACACACCGACGAGGTGGTGTGGGTGAAGATGACCTACAAGAGGATGGCCATCCGTCCGCCCACCTCCCTCCTCATACACACCACCCCACCCCGCCCCAACCCTCCCCACCCCTTCCCACCACACTCCACCCCATTCCACCCCTCTCCACCGCACCAGGCAGCACACAGACGTGGTGGTGTGGGTGAAAACGACCTACAAGAGGATGGCTATCCGTCCGCCCACCTCTCTCCTCGCGCCCGTCCTGCTGCCCTACCACCCACGCTGGCACACCCTTGCTCGCTCCATCGCTGCTGCCCTCCCCCGCCCGTTCATTGCACTCCACTTCCGATCTGAATACATCGCATGGCTCGTGGTGAGTTGCCTATACACCCTCTGGCAGTGAGTACCACCCTGTCCCTTGTTGAACTAGAAGTTACCCTTCCCTCCTGGGACATTAGCTGTTCCCTGCTCGCGCCCGCCCTGCTGCCCTACCACCCGCGCTGGCACACTCTCGCTCGCTCCATTGCTGCTGCCCTTCCCCGCCCGTTCATTGCCCTGCATTTCCGCTCCGATCCGAGTACATCGCATGGCTCGTGGTGAGTTAACCACAGTAGAACTACCCGTGCTGGCACTCCCTTGCTCGCTCAATCACTGCTGCCCTTCCCCGCCCGTTCATTGCCCCCCATTTCCGTTTTTGAGTCGACTCAAAAACAGTTTCCGCTCCGATCCGAGCACATCGCATGGCTCGTGGTGAGAAAGGCAATCCCTTTGTGCCTTCAAATTTTGCGGTAATGGTTCTCAGCAACTCCCTCTCACTTGCCCCCTCCTTCCTCTCCCTTTCCGTATGCCTGGCAGGGAGGTAAACAGCAGCAGGAGCAGAAGATAGGCAAGCTGGTGCACTGGTGCGTGGCAGAGGCAAGTTGTTGAGCAATTACACCCCCCTCCCTGTCTCTTCCCGTCTCTCCCTCCATCTCTCTCTTCCAGGGAGGGAAGCTGCAGCAGGAGCAGAAGATAGGCAAGCAGATGCACTGGTGTGTGCCACAAGCAACCTGCAAAGGCGTTGCTCACCCACTTACCCCTCCTCCTCCCTGGCTTTTTCCCTCCTTCCCTTCTCTCCCCCTCCCAGGGAGGGAAGCTGCAGCAGGAGCAGAAGATAGGCAAGCAGATGCACTGGTGCGTGGCAGAGGCAGCGAGAACCGTGCACCAGGTGCAACAGCAGCTCTCAAAAGGGATGGAGGGTACGCTGGCGAAGGGGAGCTTTGAGGCGCCTCCAAAGGCAGAGGCAGCAAGGACCGTGCACCAGGTGCAGCAGCAGCTCTCAAAAGGGATGGAGGGTACGCCAGCCAAGGGGAGCAATGCCTCCAGTGGTGATTCACCTTCCCATCACTCCAGATCAGGAGTGTCTGGTCAAGTGAGAAGAAACACGTCAATGCACGCTTCATTGGGAACTTCCCAAAGCAGCAGCAGTCCATCAGTGTTCATTAGCGCAGATATTGCCTTTGGAGCTGCTGCTGCTGCTGCTGCTGCTGCTGCTGCTGCTGCTGCTGCTGCTGCTGCTGCTGCTGCTGCTGCTGCTTCCGCCGCTGCTCCTGCTGATGCTGCTTCTCCTGCAGAGGAAGTATGGCCGGTGCGGTCGGAGTCGTGGGGCGTGATGGTGGAGAAGTATGGGCGCGAGCAGACCATTGAGGCAACTTCTGAGACGTCTCAAAAGTTGTCTAAATCTGAGGCGTCTCCGAAAGCAGACGAGGAGTGGCCTGCGCGGTCAGAGTCGTGGGGGGTGATGGTGGAGAAGTATGGGCGCGAGCAGACCATAGATGCAGGGCACCGTGCCCTGCTGCAGCTCAGGGCGCTTGTCGATGGTGGCGGGGATGCCTATAAAGGGGATGGAGACATAGATGGTACCCAGAACAGCAGCCGCAGCAGTAGCACAAGTGGAAGCAGCAACGGTAGTGATGGCATTACCAGCAGTGGCAGGGGGAGCAGCAACAGCAGTGGCTCAAGAGGCGTGACAGAATCTGTGGGCTACGGTGGCTTACCCAAGAGGAGTATCATGATTGATGAGATTGTTCCTTCGGTCAATAAACTCGACCCAGGTATGAGAGTGTACAGAATCCGTACCCCTATTATTTTTCCAGCAATTTCCAGTGCTGTTGTCACCCTCTTGGCTCGTATATACCAGTGTGTAATATGTTCCTTTCTTTTATTTTCAATGCAGGGATAGTTGGAATACTAGATAAGCTGATTGCTGCACAAGCGGATATGCTTGTGGTTGGAGTTCGCTATTGTGGAGGAAGGCGCGGCTTTGAGGCAGACATCCTGGATCATCGAAAACAATTTGGCAAGGTTCCTAGAAGCGTACACAGGTGGGGCGATAATGTATTGCAGCGTCGCCGAAGGCGGCTGCGCTTGCAGAAGGAAATGTCAAGTGATACTTACGACGGAGAATAAGAAGGAATTGTTGCATGAGCAACACCTTGTTGCACATGCCTGCTATTTGGTTTAGATGCTTCTCCATTCTGAGTAAGTGGTAGTGTAGTGTAGTGTAGTGTAGTGTCTAAGCGGGATCCACTTTCCCGCGTGCTTTCACCGTTTTTTCGTAGCACAAAAAAACTTGGCTCATGCGACTCGAATTCATCGCATTCGCGACGCTCTGCGAGCTGTCTCGAAAGCGTTACTCGCCTAAAATATCCTCGCCTGGCCATTACGGTTACTACACGGTGCACGATAAAACTCAAATGGGGAAGTTCGACCCGCTCGCGGAAAGCTCAACGATTGGCCACCTCGAGGCGCATTGCTACGCGAAAATAGCGAGGCGCAACGGTTCTTCCATTTTGCAAATGCGTGAGACGAAAATGTCGAATTTCTCGAATTTCGAAATCTGCGGAGTTTCGGACGGAAGTCCCTCGACATTCGGCGTGAGTTACGCCAGCAAGGAAGGCGTATTCTCCTGATCAAACCCCACGGTTTGTAATCGTTGTGCTGCGTTTCAGAACGGTCGAGTAGATAAACGGCTTTCAACCGCATACAACCCCAGTATACAGCACATGAAATCAGCCGTCGAATATGGAGGCACCCAACGGCCCCGACTCCGACTAACTCTGCCGACTCGGTCACCAGAGAATGACGGCGCTTTATAAGGTGGTACTGCACATGAGCTCTGTACGATTGCCTCCCTCGTGATCATCGATTTCTGTTCGTTGCTACTGATTGTCGCCGATTGCTGTTGCGTTCATTGCAAGCTGGAATTCTTTAGTGCACGGAGGGGGGAATCCGCTCTAGAGTCTAGACTCCAAAGAGAGCTCTAGTTACAGCGTTAGAAGCTAGTCCCTCGGCATTTTCTCTTGGATTCTACCGCATTTCACGTCCGTGCGTCGATTAGTCTCAGCGGCTATACCGTTCGTCCTTCTCGCTACAAGTTACACCCCCTTAACTTACTGATTTGATACAGGTTACACCCACGGACCCGCTTGTTGGCGCGCCTCAGTAATCGCGGGACTCTCTGCGCAGAGGTCACTTATAACGCAAAGTCTCGTCTGAGCCTTCTGCTCGCCTTCTTTATCGCAGTGCTCTGGATTTCATTGTTTCAGGCGCCCGAATAACATTCTTTATCACAGCCTTCCGATTTTCTAGCAGCGTAAAGAATGACAGGGAAATTTGATTCCACATACATAACAGCGCGAGAGTCAAGATCAATGTCGCGTTTCCTCTACGCGGTTGCAATTCTCGCTCTTTTCATTGCTTCATCTGGAGCGGTGCCGATCCCAGCCGCGTCGGCTCCTGCCGCTTCCCCTACTAGTGGAACTCCCGCACCACGTCTCCGCGGCAGCAGCGATGGCGGCGGCGGAGGAAGCGGCGCGGTGCCAAAGCCAAACGCTCCATCAACTATACCAGCAACCGTCAAATCTGCCGGCGTCAAACCTACCGGCTCCAAGCCGACCGGCCCCGACCCTACTGGCAACAAAACTAACGGCGGCAATCCCAGGGGAGCCAACCCCAAACCTACGGGCACCAAGCCTAACAGTGGCAGCCCCAGCCCCACCAAGCCTGCGGAAAAGACTAACTCTACCGTCGCTCCCACAAACAAGAAGAGCCCGAGTAAACCGGCAGAGAACACGGCGGCAAAGCCAGCGGAGAAATCGGCGGCAAAGTCGGCGGGGGGCACGGCTCCGAGTGCCAAGAAGCCAGTGACGGTGCAGAGCAGTGCAAATGAAAGTCAGCGGCAGCGAATGGTCGGTGCGCGTATCAGCGCGGCCGGCCAGGGGGGGTCCGCGTCGTGGCTGGTGCAAAACGGTGGCGCGACGTGCGACATCTCCGTCGGCACGTGAGTTAACACAACAATTATATTTTCGTTCCGCCCATCCAAGTGTCCGCTCGTATACGTGTCCGCCCATCCACGTGTCTGCCCGTCCACGTGTCCGCCCGTCCACGTGTTTGTCATCTAGTAAGCTCAATCAGCCTTCCCTCAATCTCCCCCGGCCCGTCCCTCCCCGCCCCACCCTCCGCGTTTGTCGTATCTCAGGTGGATTCCCAGCAGCACGCGGCCCGCGTACGCGTCCACGTGTCCGTACATCTCGAGCAAGTTCAACTGCGTGCAGAACGGGCGGCCCGACGGTGGTTACCAGCATCTGATGTGGCAACCGCGCGATTGCAACATGACACTGTAAGTGTTACAGATCGCCCACCCTCCATCCCACCTTCATCCCACTGTAACGAGGCTACTTTCGAGTCGACTTTTGAGGCCCTTGGAAAGAGCGGGCGGCCCGACGGTGGTTACCAGCACCTGATTTGACACCCGCGCGCGAATGCAACATGACACTGTATGTGTTACATCTCGCACACTCACCAATCATTCCCTCCTCCTCGATCCTTTACCTGCCGCTATCACTCGTCGTCCTCTCGCCCTCTCCTTCCGCCCTCCTTCCGCACTCATCCCCCCCACCCCCCTCCTCTTCCAACCGCCCCCCTCCCCGTTACTTTTGCCTTTCCCCCGGCAGCTTCTCCCCTCTACGCTTCGCGCTCATGTTTCAACACAAGACGCTCGCCCTCGTGAGCGAGTCGAACGTGGGATACCTTTCCCATCCCCTCATCGCTCTCCCCCTATTTCCCTCCCCATTGCCCTCCCCCTTTACCATTTCCCCCGGCAGCTTCTCCCCTCTACACTTCGAGCTCATATTTTCCGCGATTGCGCCCTCCCTGTTGCCGTTGCCCTAACCCTTACCCTTTCCCCCATCAGCTTCTCGCCGCTGCACTTCGCGCTCATGTTTCAAGACAAGACGCTCGCCCTCGTGGGAGACTCGAACGCGGAGTTCCTTTTCCAGTCGCTGCGCTGCCAGCTCAGCACGGGCCTCGAAACCGAGGTGAGTGATAAGTGATGCGGGGAAAGCCGTTTCTGAGTATAGGCAAAAGCCGCTTTCAAGACACGGAGTATCATTGTTCAACAACTCGTGCCGCTTCGGAGAACGTCTCTACCAGTCGCTCCGGTGCCAGGTCAGTTTTGAGTCGACTCCCCTGAGTATCAACTATCACTCACCTCGATTTCGAGGTGAGTATAGGCAAAAGTATAGGCAAAAGCCGCGTACAAGACACGGAGTACCAATCGCAGAACGTCTCTACCAGTCGCTGTGCCAGATCAGCGCGGGTTTTAAAACCCACATGAGCTGTTACTATGATGCGAGGTAAACCGTCTATGAGATTTTGCAGAAGCAGCTTACAAGACACGGAGCATCATTGGTCACAGTCTTGTGCTGCTTCAAGTTGCTGCTTGTTGTTCAACACACACCCTGAATGCTCCTCTCCTTTTCCTCACCCAAATTGCAGACTGTGAATGCAACGACGGCAGGAGTGGGGAGGAGTTTAGAGTGGTAGAGTCCGGCACTCTCATGCTCTCCTTGTAGACGCGCCCTTCCTGTTCCACTCCCTCTTCTTATCCTTCTCCTTGTTTCCTCTTCCAGACTGTCGACACGACAACGGCGGGAGTGGAGGCGTCTCGAGTGACCAGTTCCAACACCCTCGTACTGCTCGTTGTGCTGCCTCTTGTCTCAACGCACATCCCGCCTGTTCCACTACTTTCCTTCACCCCACTTGCAGAGCGTGAATACGACAACGGCGGGAGCGGAGGCATTCAGAGTATCAGCTCCAACACTCTCGTGCTGCTCCTTGTTCATTTGTCCCGCCTGTTCCACTCCCTCTTCTCACCCTTCTCCTTGTTCCCTCTTCCAGACTGTGAATACGACAACGGCGGGAGCGGAGGCATTCAGAGTGATCAGCTCCAACACTCTCGTGCTGCTCGTTCAATGCACCCTCCTTCCCTTTTTTCTGCCTGCCCCGCTCCCACTTCTCGCCCCACATGCAGTCTGTGAATACGACAACGGCGGGAGCGGAGGCGTCTCGAGTGATAAGTTCCAACACCCTCGTACTGCTCGTTGTGCTGCCTCTTGTCTCAACGCACATCCCGCCTGTTCCACTACGTTCCTTCACCCCACTTGCAGAGCGTGAATACGACAACGGCGGGAGCGGAGGCATTCAGAGTGATAAGCTCCAACACCCTCGTGCTGCTCGTTGACGCGCCCTTCCTGTCCTACGCTGCTCCTGTCGCTCCTGTAAGTACAAGTGTCTGGTATGGGGGCTTAATTTAGCGCGGACTTTCAGCTCTTGCGCTGCTCGTTGTCAGACCCTACAATATAAGTCCAGTGCATGGAACGTGCATCTGGACGTGCTACATCCAACCCTCCGCCAAATCCTCACGTTACCCTTCCTTCCCTCTTTCCGCTCATACTTATCATCCCTTTTCCTCTTCTCCCCATACAGACCCTACAATATAAGTCCAGTGCATGGAACGTGCATCTGGACGTGCTACACCCAACTCTCCGCTAACCCAAACCCAACTAAGCCTTTCCTTCCCTTTCCTCCACTTGTCTTTCTTGCTTGACGCCCTTCAGACCCTACAATATAAGTCCAGTGCATGGAACGTGCACGTAGACGTGCTTCACCCAACTCTTCGCCAAATCCTGCCAGACGCGCACGCCGTCATCTTCTCGTCCGGATCCTGGTTCATGCCGCCCGGCCGCACATACTACAAAAACGGCCGCCCGCTTGCCGCCCAGATGAACGGCCTGCAGGCGCACAGTGCTGTGCTCGGCGTTCTGTCGGACTATCTGGCTCAGCTCAGGTCGGGCGGCGGAGCATTGGCTGACACTCAAGCAGCGGGAGGAGCAGCAGGAGGAGGAGGGGTTAATGGCGCAGGAAAAGCAGGAGCGGGAGGAGCGGCAGGAGGAAAAGCAGCAGCAGGAGGATCAGCAGCAGCAGGAGGAGCAGGGGTAACCAGAAAGCAGTTACTGTCTGCTGCTGCTGGTGATTCCACCACCACCGGAATCACCACCGGCAGCAGTAGCAGCAGCAGCAGTAGTGGTCAGTCAGGAGGAACCTTCCCACGCACCTTCTTCCTCTCCCTCCCCCCCGCCCACACCCCGAACACCTTCCGCTACCAAGACACCACCTGCGGGGTCTTCGCCGAGCCTCTCTCCGAACCAGACCAGGCCTACGCCGTCAGCCACAGCGCCGAAGCTGCCTGGACAGCCTCGGAACGAGCCGCGCTCGCAGGTTCGGGAATCCAGCTCCTGGACATTCTAGGCTCGGCGATGTACAGACCGGACGGACACGTGGCGAGGTATGGTTCGAAGGGAGGAATGGGAGCCATGGATTGCAGTGGATGGTGCTTACCGGGAGTGCCAGATGCGTGGGTAGACATGTTTTTCCACCTGTATGCAAGTCCCACGGGGATTCAGCAGCTGCTGCTGGGGCTTGGGAAGGTGGTTGGAGCGGGAGCGGTGGGGGATGTGTGCTGGCAGGTGCCTGGATCTGCACAGACCATTGCGGGGTATTACTAAGAGGGGGGGAGATGGTGCTGCGTAGGCAGTGAGTGACAGGCAGGGATCCGGCAGCTGCTGCTGGGACTGGGGAAGACGGTTGGGGCTGGAGCAGTGGGGGATGTGTGCTGGCAGGTGCCTGGGTTGGCACAGTCAATTGCAGGGTATTATTAGGGGGGGAGTTGTGCAGCAGAGACAGGGTGGCAGGGAGTGTTTTGCAAGAACTCCCCAAATCACCCGCACTAGGGGTCTCAAAACAATACTACCGTACGTGGTTTGCCTTAACTGCCAGTGTAAGCTGGTGCGTGTGAGGGGGGGTCTGATGATGGATAGGCGGCTCAAATAACAGAATGAGGGCATTAGGTGTAGATGGTTGTTCCTTTACAACCAGTTAGACTTGTAATGCTGCTTATAACTTTAGGCGCAGATAAGAGCTATTACGACAGCCGCAAGGGCCTGTCTGTAGCATCATCCTAATGATCTTTATTGCAATAACATGATTTTTGTTCCCAACAAGACATCCCAGTGCTGGGCTTGGTTCTATACTAACCGCTGCTTCCGTGTGGAAATGAGCAGGTAAAGAGAAAACATTACAAACCAAGTCACTGTGCTACCAATGTAATTTGCACATTGACCTGTTATTGAATCCTTAGGCCTCACTAGCATGCCACACCCTAATCATCCCCTTCCGCTCTCCACAATACAGAGTACCATCCCTCCCTCCCCCCAATACGGTAGTCACCGCCAGACCTCCTCCCTGTATCAGGATTCATGCCCTTCAAACATCATCCCTCCACCCACTCCCTAATCCTCACTAGCATGCCACACCCTGATCGTCCCCTACCTCTCGCCACAATACAGGGTACCAGTACCATCCTTCCCTCATTCCCCCCATAGTCACCTCCTCCCTGCATCAAGATTCATGCCATTCCAACATCACCCCTCCGCCCATCTAATCCTCACTAGCATGCCACACCCTGGTTGTCCCCCTCCTCTCACCACAATACAGAGTCCCATCCCTCCCCAACGCCACCGAATCACCTCCCTGCAAAATACCCCCTTCCAACATCACCCCTCCACCCACCTCCTAATCCTCACTAGCATGCCACACCCTGATTGTCCCCCTCCTCTCGCCACAATACAAAGTCCCATCCCTCCCTAACGCCAACGCACACACCTCCTCCCCTCCTGAGACCATTCCATCCTCAAATGCTGCCAAAAGGCGCCGCCCACGCCACGCAAAGGTAATCCCCCTGCCAGTGCTGTCACCCCCTCCCCAACCCTCAAACCCACCACCACCACTAGCACCACCATTTCCACCACTGCCAGTGTACTTCCCACCTCCAGGGCAGTAAACCGCCGAATCTGGGCCCACTACAAGACAATTTCTCGCCGCCCAATCCTGCCGCACGTCCACACACTTCCCGCCGCTCCATATCCTCACCTCTCCGTCAAGAGAGAGGGAATAGAGGGTGGGTCCAGCTGCAAAGTAAGGACTCGCACCAGCAGTACCACCACCAGTACCACCAGCAGTACCACCACCACCCGTGCCACTGCTGCCATTATCCCCACTGGAGAACAGAAGGGGAGGGCCCACAGCAAGTGAAATCACCTGGGCCTTGTGCCCTTTGAGAGATGCCGCCACAGCACCACCCCTATACACACAGATAGGGTACTCCTGCTCCTCCTCTGCTCCTCCTCTGCTGCTCCCACTGCCCCCACTGCTCCCACTGCTAGTTTTGAGACGTCGCAATGCTGCCACAGCACCACCCCTAAACAAACGGGGGTTCTCCTGCCCCTCCTCTGCTCCTCCTCTGCTCCCACTGCCCTCCCTCGGCGGCTCGTGATTGGCTGTGAAGTAGATGGTTCCGTCCGGTGCGGTTACCACATCGGCAAACCCGTGCTTGAAGGGGGAAGCGTTGGTGGTGTCTCCACCGCCCCAGCCACCACCAGTGTAGTCCCTATCCCAGTCCCTGCTCCCACCGCTTCCTTCGCCGCCTCTCCCGCCGCCGCCGCTGCCGCCGCCGCTGCTGCTGGTCAAGTGAGCCGGGGTGCTTGTGCCGGCTCGTAACACTCCCACTCGTCGCAACACACCCCTCTGCCCTTGCTGCTGCTGCTGCTGCTGCTGCTGCCTATTCTGATGCTGCTGCTGCTGCTGCGCCCAAACTGCAGCATCCTCCACCACAGCCCAAGCACTCACCTCGCCGTCACTAAACGCCACAAGGAGCACCCCGTCATGCCACGCCATGCGCAGCGGCAGCGACCCAAACTCAAACCCCCCCTCCACATCCCCACCCGCTCCTCCTCCCCCTCCTCCTCCTCTCAACCTCTCTCCCCACCGCTCTCTGCCTCTCCTGCACCCAGTGCACCCCACACACCTCCCATCCCTCCACATTCTGATTTTCCCATCCTCACTGCACGAGAACAGAGTGCCTGAAACGGGGTCTAGAACCAAATCAAAGACCGCAGCAGCAGCAGCAGCTCCTCTCCCTCCACTCCCCTGCTCACCCGATCTATATTCACCCGACCAATACTCACCACTGTTGGCAGCAGCACTGTCCCATCCCCCTCCTCCACCAGAGCACACAATCGTATCCAGCAGATGAGCCGAGATCTGATTCCGCCGCCACAGACGAATCGTGCCGTCCAGGCTGCCCGAGAAAATAATCTCGCCTCTCGGGCAGACGATAATTTTGGTCACGCGGTCCGTGTGCCCGGGAAGGCTGCCCACAAGAAACCCCCCCTGCCAAGGTTGCCTTGCTAGAGTCATCTGAGATTTTGCAAATGACCGAGAGGCGAGTGAGTGTGGTGCAGGAAGCTTCTTAGAAGCAGTGGCTTCTGCTGCTGAACCTGGTGGTGCTGTTCCTTTGGCAACACGCTCAGGCGCATTGGAAGTAGGATCGGATTTCACCTGAGAAATCATCTGAGATCCCACCTGAGGTCCCACTTGCAGGTTTCTCACGGCTCCAGCAAGATCCGCCCCTCCTGCTGCAAGCAGCATCCGCGCTTTCTCCTGCACCTGCCCCTTGAGAGCCCCCACCTCTTCAGTTAAAGCCTGGATTTCCCCCTGAAGGTCCGACACCAGGTGCTCGTACCCCACTATCAGCTCCTTGGCTCTTCGTAGATCAGCTCGAGCGGACGAGCAACACTGGAGCGGAAACGCAAGGAACATATAGAAGGGAAGGCAGAAGAAATCGTATGTGAGTTTCCCCCTGAAGGTCCGACACTAGGTGCTCGTACCCCACTATCAGCTCCTTGGCTCGTCTCAGGTCAGCCCGAGCAGAGGAGCAGCACTGTTTGGGCAAAAAACATATCCCACGAAAGGCAAAAAAATAATAATTTAGTGAGTTTTTCCTTAAAGGTCCGACACCAGATGCTCGGACCCTACTATCAGCTCGCTTGCCGCAACTTAGCCTGAACAGAAGAGAAACACATCGTGTGCTGACCTGGCAATGCACCTGGTGTGCTGACCTGGCAATGCACCTGGTGTGCTGACCTGGCAGTGGCGGGGCCGTGTCTTGCACTGTAGCAAGTGCTGCTTCACGTCTAGCAGCTCCCCCCTCCAATTACACCCATCCGCGAAATTTGCACAGCGAACTTCCGCGCTGGTAAGAAGGAGTACGGGGATAGAGCGGGGGAAACCCGGGCGTGAATGCAGGTAATGAGTGTGCTGCTGCACGTCGAGCAGCTCCCCGCTCCAGCTACACCCATCCGCGAAATTTGCACAGCGAACTTCCGCGCTGGTAAGAAGGAGTACGGGGACAGAGCGGGGGAAACCCGGGCGTGAATGCAGGTAATGAGTGTGCTGCTGCACGTCGAGCAGCTCCCCGCTCCAGCTACACCCATCTGCGAAATTTGCACAGCGAACTTCCGCGCTGGTAAGAAGGAGTACGGGGATAGAGCGGGGGAAACCCGGGTGTGAATGCAGGTAATGAGTGTGCTGCTGCACGTCGAGCAGCTCCCCGCTCCAGCTACACCCAAACCTCCGTGCTGGTGGTAAGCAGAAAGAACGGCGTTGAAAGGGGATAGAAAGTGGGGATCAAGGGTGTGAATGCGGGACGTGAGTGTGCTGCTTCACGTCCAGCAGCTCGCCCCTCCAATTACACACCCATCCGCATAGTTTGCACAGCGGACCTCTGTGCAGGTATGGAGGAACAACAAGGCAGAGGAGAGGATTATGACAGCTCACAGGGGCGGTATGAGAAGCTATGACAGAATGAGAGAAGATGTGCGAGGGGAGAGGTGTGGACGGGAAGAAGGGCGATGACAGATCAGTCAGGTGACGAGAGGAGAGGAGAATGAGACAAGGAAAACAGGAAGAGAGAGCGGGGAGAGGTGGACAGTAGCTGACCTGCCGAGCTGGCGGAAAACGATAGGATTGGCTTCCCTTAAAGGGCGGAGATGATCTTGCACGGGCGACTTATCCTGTTGGTAGGGTGGATGGACGGTTGGGATGGGTTGACGGGTAGTGGATGAACGGGAGGAGGGATGGGTGGACTAACAGATGTATACGGAGCAATGTAGAATAAAGAAAACATGTTCTCAGGAAAAAAATAGCTTAAATTTGAGAATTAAGAGCGGAAGAGACAGGGGGAGGTATCCCGCACTCACCATGGGGCATGTCACGCATTTCTTCTCAATGGCTTCATGCACACACGGCGAGCAGAACACATGTCCGCATGCAGCCTGCAGGGGACACATTCAAAATGAGACTTGACTACAGAATGTGAAGGGGGGCATGTCACGCATTTCTTCTCAATGGCTTTATGCAAACACGGCGAGCAGAACACATGTCCGCATGCAGCCTGCAGGGGACACCGCGTACAACACGCGGAAAAAGCAACGCATAACATGCTTGCAAATCATTTGCATCAAAATGAGCGCAAGTAACTAGGCGGCTTGTTATTAGTCCATATGCAGCATTTCCTTTTTGTAGATGGAAAATTAATAAATTAGAAATAACTATTCCAGCCCCAGGCGCGTCACCTGGAGAGCGTCGGTAGGATCAACGAGGTCCGTGCAGTACACGCAGATGAGCTCCCGTAGCAGCCCTTCCAGCAGCTCGCTATGGACCACGCGCGCCGTGCCCACACCCATGCCGTGTGGAGCAGCTCGAAGTTTCAAGGATAAACACGAAACAGTTTAGAGCAGCTCCGACCAAGCGCGCTGGACGAGCGCACTGGAGTCGGAGCAGCAGTAACCGCAGCACGCACTAGGCGCGACCGCGAAGATAAATTGCTAGACGACGTTCAGTTTCCAGGAAGGAAACTCGAGAAGAACTTGCAGCACGCAACTGTTGACGCCCTTTGACGGCTGGTGAAGACGACGAGGAGCGCTAGCAGCTGCATGGCTGCTTGATGGCGATGGTCCATTGGCTTTGTACCTTGAAGTTGGATGAATTGCTGCAATCGTAACTTCAATCTACATGACAAGCTTTATGCTTATTATCAGATCTCATGTAACCACACGTTTACAGTACACCAGAGACTGACTGTCTAAATTCACCCCCCAATAAAAGCGCATAAGCTAAGCTACAGCTACCAGGTTTGTTTGCACAAGAAACATAGGTTGGTTGGTCGGGAGTCATAATCCATTTGTGTTCCCTTTATCCATGCAGTCACCATCTTCAAGCATTTCACCTGTAATCATCCTCCAGGCTGCGGAAAGCAGCTGTGAGCTCTTCGCTCAGCTTCTGATACTTGGCCTCCAACACCGCCTTCCCGTCTGCGGGGTCCTCGAACTTCTGGGACCTGCAATGAGAAGCACACACTTATATGAAGCCCCAAACCAGGTTGAAGCCAGAATGGAAGTGGGGCATTAGCAGGAGTGAAGTGTAACACATACACGATCTTGTAGATAAGGTCACCAAGCCTCTGCTTGATGACATTGAGAGTGATCTTCTGGCCCTCTGAACCTGCTGCCCTCTCCACAGCCTGAAGCAGGAACAATAAAGGGTTAGCGGAAAATGTTTGGAGCTGTGACACAGAAGTGAAACAAGCCTCTTTCGATATATGGGCAGCCAAGGAAACATACCTGGGTTGCAAGCTGATAGAACAGGATGATGTTGCGAAGCATCCATACGGACTTGTAGAAAGGGCAGAACTTGTCATGCCTGAAAACAAACCAGAACGTTAATCCCATCAACAAGGAAATATATGAACACCAACGGGTAATGAACACAAAGTTGGGAAAATCAAGTAGCAGCGACAGGACATACGAGGAAAAGGCGTTCTGGGCCAGGTAGTCTTCACGCAGCAGACGCGCCGTCTCCAGAATGATCTTGTCACCTTCAGCAAGGGCATCCTTTCCGACAAGCTGTGACGCAAAGACAAGGCCATCAGACCACTTACTATACCAGAAAGTGGAAAGGAAAACTGCGATCAACATCAAGTGTCAATTTGAACAACAGCAAGAAGCAAGACAATACAGGTTATGAATGCATCAGATTCTTACCTGCACAATCTCATTCAGGTCATCCTCACGTTGAAGAACCTCACGGGCCTTGGTACGAAGGGCAATGAAATCTGGCGATTCCACATCATAGAAAGACTCCAACGCCTGGAAGTGAAACAAACGAGCAACAACCCCACGGGAAACAAGAGGTGTTTTATTTTAAAGCAAGGGTACACATTCAACCCGCTGACAAACTGGGTGGGCAAGTGATAAACCTTTGCTTAACCAGCCTGAATGTGGCCCTTCGCTTCAGTCCACAACAGGTTAACAGGCTGAGGAATATGACTCGGTAAGTAAGTGAGGCAACTTACATTGGTGTACTTGGAATAGGAAATGAGCCAGTTAACAGCCGGGAAATGCTTTCTTTGAGCGAGCTTCTTATCCAGACCCCAGAACACCTGCTCATTTCAACCATTCCAAAATAGTTGGTTAACGGCCAAAACACATGTACAGATAAGCCAAGTGGAAGCGCCACTAACCTGGACGATACCGAGCGTAGCAGCTGTGACAGGATCCGAGAAATCACCACCAGGAGGAGACACGGCACCGACAATGGTGACACTTCCAGTGCGGTCAGGGCTGCCAAGGCACTGAACCTTGCCAGCACGCTCATAGAAAGATGCCAGCCTGGCAGCCAGGTAGGCAGGGTAACCACTGTCAGCAGGCATTTCAGCCTGTTGAAAATTGGGGTTTGGGAAACAGCATACACATCACAAAATTGGAAACCAGTATTGGTTACTTGTTGTGAAAGGAAAACCTACAATGTCCAACAAGTTCAACAGCTTGGACCAACTTACAAGACGCCCGGAAATTTCACGAAGAGCTTCCGCCCATCGAGACGTGGAGTCAGCCATCATGGCCATGTTGTATCCCATGTCTCGGAAGTACTCAGCAAGAGTAATACCTGTCAAGAAGTACAACAATATTGTCAGGACATGTAGGATGAATCCACTCTAACAGTTCCATGGTTGAAGTACAAACTGGGATGTCTTACCAGTGTAGATGGATGCCTCTCGCGCAGCCACAGGCATGTTAGATGTGTTGGCCACAAGAGTGGTACGCTTCATCACAGACTCTTCACGGCCATCAGGAAGTGTCATGGTAAGCTTTGGGAAGTCCATCAGCACCTGCAAGGAATTCCAACCAGTCGTTTCCTAAATACTATTCACAAGAGCACAAAAAAGTGCAATAAATTAGGAGATGCACTCACCTCAGCCATTTCATTGCCACGCTCTCCGCAACCAACGTAAATGACACCGTCAGAATTCGAAAACTGCACTGACAGTGAAACAAAAAATCAGCACATGAATCATACAGTAACAAAGGACACAGGTATTTCATGATGTGCCTACCCACCTTGGAAAGCGCCTGACTGATGACAGTCTTTCCGCAACCGAAAGCACCGGGGATAGCACAAGTACCACCAAGCACTGAGGGGAACAGGGCGTCCAAAATTCTCTGCCATAGGGAAAAAGTATCATAGTGATCAGTAAGCCAAAAAATTGTACAAGGTCTCACGACGAAAAGTTTAAACTACCATAACATACCTGGCCGGTTAAGAGAGGAGTGTCTGCTGGAAGTTTTCGTGCCACAGGACGGGGAGTACGGACTGGCCATGTCTGGAACGCACGGGAAGAAACATTGAGATGAGCACTTCCTATGGCAACCGGATACTAAACTCGGTAAAAGAATGGCCATCATACCTGAAGCATCGTGTACTGCTTTGTCTGCCCTTGGAACTCAAGTTCAAGGACTTTGTCCTGCTCAAAAGGACAAGATTGGTTCTCGTTATCCAACAATCCATCCGCGATAGAATAGTAGTTGTGGGACGAATGATGAGTTCCTAAATTACCTTCAAACTATATTGACCAGGAGGTGCGACGTAAGTGACCTTCCCCATGGCTTTCGGAGGAGCACAGATCTTTTGTGTCATAAGGCTGTTTTCGATGACAGTCTGCACGGAGAGCAACGCAAGAGAATCCGGTTACGGACCTTCACGGAAACGCATGGAAAGAACGGGGCCATAAACAGTACATACCGCGAAAATGTCACCACCCGCAAGGATATCTCCAACATCTGCCACCACGAAACGGGAATATGTCACTCGTAAGAACCAATTTCGACAGAACAGCTCGTCCACCGTTTATTAAAATTAAACAAATCTTACTCAGAGCCCTGGGTTGGAACTCCCAAAGGATGTCCTTGTCAAGCGCCGGAACCGCGACACCACGCGGAATGTACACATTGCCGGACCTAATGGCGATGGTTTTCAACGGCCGCTGCACAAAAGCAATATTCGGCTCGTTAGAATAAAATGTACGGATCTGATATGTTCTCTAAATGGCAAGACAGAAAATGTTCCCACCTGGATACCGTCGAAGATGTTGCTGAGAATACCAGGGCCGAGCTCCACCGAAAGTGGCTGAAACAAGAAACATATGGTCCAGAGAGGTAAGAAAAACAAAGACGTCGGCGAGGAAAGGCTAATGCATGCAACAATAATGTCATCTGACCTTGCGAGTTCGAAGCACCGGATCTCGAACAGTCAGACCAGATGTTTCCTCGTACACTGGAGAAGACCAGGGAAAAAAGGATCGACTATTTTAAGTCACCAACATGCTAACGGACACCCAGCGGCTGCAGAAATTTGACAACAAATGTCTGAAAAAATAACCTTGAATAGTTGCGGAGTCGCCCTCGAGACGAATGATCTCTCCGATAAGCTTATCATTTCCCACACGGACAAGCTCGTACATAGCAGCTCCTCCCATGTTATCTGCTATCACGACAGGCCCCGAGACCTGAAAGCGGACGACATTAGCCAGATCAGACCTCTACAGCATTTTCTTAACGTTCAAGGAGACAAAAACAGATGGATCTTCCGGACCTTCTTGATGTATCCATACTCGCTCTCCTTCTCAGCGTCCTCAAAGGTAGACATCCTAAGATCCGGCTAGAAGCAAAGCGAAAACTCGAAGGGAAGGCGAGGTAATGACCAAGCAATGGCTCCCTCCCAAAACACCAGACGATCACGGAGCTACAGAAAAACAGCGGAAATTTTTGCTAGCGGGGCCTGTGCCTCCTGTTGTGGCACGAAGAGCTTGCAATGCAATTCTCGAAAACAAAGGGCATCCCTGCCTTTCCTGTGGCGAGCAGTCGCAGGGGAGTGACACAACCCTCGCTAGTGCGCCTCTGCCCAGGAGAACATGTGCTTTTTGTCACACATTTATCGATTGTCCTTGACGTTGCACTGTTTGAATTGCCAGCAATACGAAGGGTGTGAGGTCGAGGTCAGAAAAACTGTTCGTCATAAACTAATTGCATGTACGCTTAAAGCTTTCGTATACATTTGAAAGTACTGTTTGTGGTGGAACAGTAGCCACCAAGATTTCGCCCCAACGAAAAGAAAGGGGCTTGGCGAGAGGGGTTGCGAAAATTTGGAGGATTGAGGGGTGGGAACACGAGAAACTCTCCCGTCACCCAACCCTTGAGCGACACTCACAAACGCAAGTATAAGCAACTAATTACTAGGAAAGGCCTTGATAGAACTAGCAGCGCAACTACTCACCCTGACCTAATCGCCCGTGGTAAGGGGACACGGGGCTATACAAAAGCCTTTAGCTGCAGGGGCGGTTTGCATTCGGATGGGCCGTCGCGTAGCATTCGTCGAGCGATGCCATGCGGCACACGGGCGAGCGCCTCGACGAGTTGCATTATGCTGGCTCGCTGCGATGCAATCGTCGAACCAGCGATAAATTATTCAGTGAGCCGTCGCGTTCCACCCTGCGGGCTTCTCGCCTAGCGCCATTATGCATCGCGAAACCCGCTGATGGCGAAACCCGCTGATGGCGAAACCCGCTGATCGCGATACCCGCTCCTCGCCAAACACGGTGCTCGCGAAATCCGTTTAGCGCGTCACCCGCTTCTCGCCTCACCCGCCGCATGCCTCACCTGCGAATCGGCAAAATACTTGCCTCACGCGCTGCTTGGCTCATAACCTTATTTCGTCATTTCCCCCCCTTCCGCCTCTCGTTTCCTCAATCTCGTTTCCCCCCCCTTCCGCCTCTCATTTTCCCGGAGCTCCTCCCTCTCGTTTCCCCCCTTTCTCCCTCTCGTTCCCCCCCCCCTCCGCCTCTCATTTTCCCCCCTTCTGCCTCTCGTTTCCCCCCCTTCTCCATCTCGTTTCCACCCATCCTCCCTCTTGTTTCCCCCCTCCACCCACTCGTTTCCCCCCCTTCTCCCTCTCGTTCCCCCCCCCATCCGCCTCTCCTTTCCCCCCCTTCCGCCTCTCGTTTCCCCCCCTTCTCCCTCTCATTTCCCCCCCTCCTCCCTCTCGTTTCCCCCCCTTCCCCGTCTCGTTTCCCCTCCTTCTCCTCTCATTTCCCCAACTTCTCCCTCTCATTTCCCCCCTTCTCCCTCTCATTTCCCTCTTCCCCCTCTCATTTCCCCGCTTTCCCCCTCTCGTTTCCCCCCCTTCTCCCTCTCATTCCCCCCCCTCCTCCCTCTCGTTTCCCCCGCTCTTCCCTCTCGTTTCCCCCCTTTCTCCCTCTCGTTTTCCCCCCTTCCGCCTCTCATTTCCCCCCTTTCCCCCTCTCGTTTCCCCCCCTTATCAATCTCGTTTTCCCCCCTTCTCCCTCTCATTTCCCCCCCTCCTCCCTCTCGTAACTCCCCCTTCCCCCTCTCGTATTCCCCCCTTCCCCCTCTCATTTCTCTCCCTCCTCCCTCTCGTTTCCCACCCTTCCCCCTCTCGTTTCCCCTCCTCCTCTCATTTCCCCAACTTCTCCCTCTCATTTCCCCCCTTCTCCCTCTCATTTCCCTCTCTTCCCCCTCTCATTTCCCCGCTTTCCCCCCTCTCGTTTCCCCCCCTTCTCCCCCTCATTTTCCCCCTTTCTTCCTCTCATTTCCCCCCTATGCTCCCTCTCATTTCTTCCCCTGCTCCCTCTCATTTCCCCCCCTGCTCCCTCTCATTTCCCCCCCTGCTCCCTCTCATTTTCCCCCCCTGCTCCCTCTCATTTCTCCCCCTGCTCACCCTCACTTCCCCCCTTTCTCCCTCTTCATTTCCCCCTCTCCTTCCCCTCATTTCGCCCTCTCCTTCTCCTCATTCACCCTTTCCTTACCCTCATCTCCCCATCTCGTTTCTCGCATTTCCCCTACTCCGTCCCCTTGTTTCCCCCTCTCCCCTCATTTCATCCTCTCGTTCCTCTTGTTTCCCACATTTCCCCTTATCCGTCCTCTCCTCTCCCTTTCTCCGTCCCCTCCTTTACCCCTCCTTCCCCTCATTTTCCCCTCTCCCTCCCCTCATTCCCCCCTCTCCTTTCCCTCATTTCCCCCCTCCTTACCCTTCCCTGCCCCCACCCTGCCGGCAGGTGAGTGCGCTCATGCTGCTGGCGCGCGTGAGGGAGCTGCAGCGCCCTCACATGCTGCACAGTCCTTCCCCTCCTCCCCCCTTTGCTTACCCTTCCTTACTTCCCCCCGTGCAACCCTTGCTCCCCCTTTGCTTCCCCTCCCTTCCCCTCCAGCTTACCCTCTGTTTCTTCTGCAGCTTGCCCTTGTCTATAATTTTGTTTGTTTGTTTGTTTTTTTTCAACAGCACGACACGAAGGACATCAGGCCTTCTCATTCTGAGTGCTGCTCTTAGCAGCTTAGTGAAACCAAATCAATAGGCAGGAAGTTCCAGCTTGTGTGTGCTGTTAGCGTATCAATCAAGTGAATTGATAGCATAGCATAGCATGTCATAATACATTGGAAATGTTGATGACTGTACCTAGACACAACTTCCCTTCTTTGCGTACAGCATCCTTGCATGATGCACATGGGCACAGCACAGCATTGTATGCGACATCTGACATGTGTTGTACTCAACTCAAGATACATGGAGGGTTGTCCCCAGCTCTAGCTGGTCATAATTTGTTCAACACTTGTTGAAGAGAGCTGAAAAGAGAGAAAGGCAGCACGAGAGGGGAAAAGAGGGAAAGGCAGGAGGATCGTGAAAAAGAGGGGAAGGGTAATGCAGGGAGGGGAAGGGTAATGCAGGGAGGGGAAGGGTAATGCAGGGAGGGGAAGGGTAATGCAGGGGGGAAATGAGAGGGAGAAGCAGGGAAAATAATGAGGAGAAGGGGGGGGAATGAGAGGGGGAAGGGGGGTAAACGAGAGGGGGAGGCGGGGAAACGAGAGGGAGAAGGGGGGGAAACGAGAGGGAGAAAGGGGGGAAACGGGGTAATGGGGAGGCGGGAAGGGGGGTGGCGGGAAGGGGTAATGGGGAGCGGGAATGGGAAATGGGGAGGCGGGAAGGGGTAATGGGGAGCGGGAAGGGGAAACAGGGAGGTGGGAAGGGGAAACGGGGAGCGGGAAGGGGAAACGTGCAGGCTGGAATGAGAATTGAGGAGTAGAGAAGGGAAAACGGGGAGGCGGGAATGGGAAATGGGGAGCGGGAAGGGGAAACGGGGAGGCGGGAATGGGTAATGGGGAGCGAGAAGGGGAAACGGGAAGGTGGGAAGGGGAAACGGGGAGCGGGAAGGGGAAACGGGGAGGCGGGAATGGGTAATGGGGAGCGGGAAGGGGAAACGGGAAGGTGGGAAGGGGAAACGGGGAGCGGGAAGGGGAAAAGGGGAGCGGGAAGGGGAAACGGGGAGGCGGGAAGGGGAAACGGGGAGGCGGGAAGGGGAAGTCGGGAGCGGGAAGGGGAAACGGGGAGGCGGGAACGGGAATTGGGGAGGCAGGAAGGGGAAACGGGAAGGCGGGAAGGGGTAATGGGGAGCGGGAAGGGAAAACGGGGAAGCGGGAAGGGATAATGGGGAGCGGAAAGGGGAAACGGGGAGGCGGGAAGGGGTAATGGGGGGCGGGAAGAGGAAACGGAGAGGCGGGAAGGGGAAACGGGGAGCGCGAAGGGGAATTGGGGAGGCGGGCAAGGGGAAACGGGGAGGCGGGAAGGGGTACTGGGGAGCGGAAAGGGGAAACGAGGAGGCTGGAACGCGAATTGGGGTGGCAAGAAGGGAAACGAGGAGGCGGGAAGGGGTTGGAATGCAGTCGTTCGCGCACTCAAGTGCGGCTGCCGGGGCTAGTGCGGAAACATGGTAGCGAGGCTGTGCGATCGGGCCGCGACTGTGATCGTGCGTGTTCGGCAGTTTGAGACGAGTCGTACGCGTTCACGGTGGCGTGAGGAGGCAGCGTCGTGAGGCGACACGACGGACGACGAGGCGAGGCCGTGAGAGGAGGTCCCGCGGGATCGCTGCGTGAGAGGGCGGAACTGACGTTGGTTTATCCCTATAATTACACTAAACTGCCCCACGCGTCTAGGTTTGTGTCGGAAACGAGGGTAATTTGCGCTGGCTGTTGAGTCGCGATGTGCTTAGCTACGTATTATGCTGCCCGTAGAGCGTACTGGCGTAGATCTCACGTAGGCTGGATTTCGTATACTTTTGTCGACCCAAAAGTTTTGAATCACCAGCGAGTGCTGGGTGTCGGGGAGATCTCCCTCCCTTGTTCAGAGAGTGAACTAGCTGTAATTGGGTTACCAATATTTCAAATTTCAAAACTTTTGAACCTCCCTCTTTCAAATGTATACAAAAGCTTTAACTAGGACACGCACAGTTTAGCTTATCGCATTTGAAAACGTGAATATTGAGTGGAAACACAGACAGCAGAGACCAACAGCCAACTTAGAATAGTACAAACTACACTCAGGTAAACGCCAAGGCAAAAGCTCCAGCACCCTAGCACAACGGTCCTGCTGCTGCCGCCACTCAATCTCCTCCAAACTCCACCCACATCGACCTTGCACCTCCTTACCCATTCCTCCTTAATATCCTCCCTTAAGATCGTTAACCACATCGTACGGAATAGGCGTAACAGTCTCCATGGTCGTGCCGGGCACAAGGAACCCTGGCCGGGGGCCCAGGGGCTTCCTCTTGCCGCCCACCACCACCGGAGCGGGCGGCTCCAGCGCCTTCACCGCCCGCTTCTTCCTGTCCTCTTCATGCAGCTTCGCCTTCTCCTCGTCCGACTTTTTCGGGCGCGCGTTGCGCTTCTCCAGAGCCTGCAGGTACTCGAGGGTCATGGGCGCCGGCTTCTTGTACTTCTTCTCCTTGGCGGCTCCGCCGGCGGCCTTGCGGGCCTCGGCGTTGGCAGCCTTGTGCTCCTCGTTGGCCTTCACCCGCGCCTTGAAGTCCACGTTGCAGCGGGAGGGCGTCAGGTGCTCAATGCGCACGTGAAGGCGCTTGCGCACAATGCGGGTGTTCACCTGCAGGGGGGAATTTTATAACGGGGGAACCAGGAAGAGAATAAGATTACAAGAGGGCTATGTTGCAATGCGGCGGCGTCATGTGCTCAGTGCGCATGTGCAGGCACAAGTGCAGGCGCACAATGCGGGTGTTCACATCCAGGAGACGCGGAAAGAGGGGTGGGTGGATGGGAGACATGGGAGCAAGGTGACTTGTGGGCCACCTCACGAGTTACTTCGCTTGCGCACAATGGGGATACTCACCTGCACGTGGTACGGGGAGAAGGTGGAAAGAGGTTTGGGAGCGGGGATTAGGGTTAGATAGGAAAGCGGAGTGGAGGAAAGTGGTTTGGCGAAGGAAAACAGTTCGCCTTCGCCTATCAACGCTCGTATGCACAATGCACAATGCAGGTGCTCTTTTGTACGAATGTAAGAGACAGGACCGGAAAAGGAGGGGAAGAGGGGGGGGGGAAAGGGGGAAGAAAGGAGGGGGGGGGGGGAGGGAGGGGCTGGGGGAGGAGGGAGAAGAAAGTGATCGGAGCGGGGGAGGGGGAGGGAGGGAGTGGGACGGAAGGGCACTAAGGCGAATCCAGTTCAAATCACTTGAAACCGAGTAAGTACATCTGCTGCGAAGTATCCACAGAAACAGTCCTCTAGGGTATCGTTAGCTCGAATCCGCCTGCCCCGAGCATACAGCCTTCGAACGACCCTAGCGGCCCGATCTTCCATCTCTATGCAAAGCTGCTCCAAGTTCCGACTTTCGAACATCTATTTTCGCCATACCCTAGTTAAATCGGCCTGTGCCACACTGCACGCTCGCAGTCCTACAGTTTCAGCACGCTCGCGAAGCCTCCCTCACAGCCTACACCCGTACAACGCCCGCTAAGGCCCATACAGTCTACACCCGTACAACGCCCGCTAAGGCCCATACAGCATACACCCGTACAACGCCCGCTGAGGCCATCTGTAGCCTATAGCCTTACGCCCTGTATGTTTCCGTTTTCCACCACTGTTTCCCCACACCTACCACGCCCTTCCCCCCAGCCACCCGCAGCAATGCACGCATTCCCGCAGTCCGACAGTCTCTCAGTCTTCCAGTCCCGCAGTACCCCAGTCCCCTAGGCCCCCGGGTCCGCAGCCTCTCAGTCCGCAGAATCTCAGCCCCCCAGCAAAAAATCCCCGAGACCCCCATTCCCGCAAGCCCCCAGTCCCGAATCCCGCAATCCCCCAATCTTCCAGTCCCCCAGTTCCCTAGTCCCCAGCTTCGCAGTATCCCGGTCCCCCGATCCCGCGGTCCTCCAATCCCTCAGTCCCTCAACCCCGCGTCACCCAATCTCCTAGTCACCCAGCTCCGAAGTGTACCAGTCTCACAATCTCACAGCCTTCTACAGCCGTGCCGGAATGTTTCGTACCGCTTTGGTAACATCAGCGTGCGATGGGGACTACGGGAGCCCTCAGCAGATTGAGGTTACGTGAAAACGACGAATGACGCGGAGTAACTACGCCTGCCACTTGACTGACGAAGAGCTATCGTTCGCTACGAATCTCCACACAACCCTCCGACCGTTAAGTTTCTTGGACGGCGAAACGAAAGAAATGACGTACTACGACTGAACTTGAATCTGGAGCAACGCGACAAATCTACCTACCTTCGTAACCTAAGTATACCCGAAATCGAAGTCTCCCCGCCGAGACTAGATAGCACACGCACGTTCCTGCTAAATCTAACCTCTAACGCATATAAAGGATGAGTTCTCGCCTCCGGGGCCTGGAAACCGCCTGAACCCTAGTCTCTCGTTGTGAAAAAAGGCGAATGCGCTCCGATCATTCCCCCGGGTATCAGTTCACAGAGCTGCTTGCCGGCTTTGACGCCTTTTGGGAGCGCGCGCGCACGCGGCTATTTTTGCATAAGTGACCTATGGTCACGGCCAGCTAACAGGCAGAGCAACGTTGCTACTTCGACCTCCCAGCCCATAATGACAAGGTTACGGCCCAAATTCTCCTGTCTCCAGCTTCGATTCGAGCCTGTACCAGGTGGCAATTAGGCGATTGAATCCGGCAAAACCTGCTCGTTTACTTCTCGCCAGGAGCGCGCTTGGACAGGTTTTCACACAAGCCCGATCGTTTTTTGTTGGAGCTAACTAGCCACGAACTCGAAAGTTCTGAGACGTCTTGATTCCCACGGACCTGCTTGTTGACTTCCACGCCAAGAGCGCGCTTGGTGACGTTCCAGACACGACCGATCGTTTTCTGATGGAACTAACAAACCACGAACTCAAAAGCTCTGAGACGCCTTGATTCCCACGGACCTGCTTGTTGACTTCCACGCCAAGAGCGCGCTTGGTGACGTTCCAGACACGACCGGTCTTTCCCTGGTAGAACTTGAACGGCATGCCCTTCTGTACGGCGGAGTTGACCTTAATGTCGACCATGTCGCCGAGCTTGTACGTACGCAGGTACGTCGAGATGGGGATGTAACCATGCTGGCGAAACCCGCGCGAAAACATGTCGCGGGTTCGCGAGCGCAATCCATGGCCCTTCATTTTGGGATTTTTGGAATGGGAACCCTAGCCTGTGTTAGCTGCCGCTGCTGCTGTGCCTGATTCTATGGCACTCTGCTGCTGCTGTGACGCAGGGAGAGAGGAGCGTCCCGAGGGGAAAGGGAGAGATTGAGAGGAGGAAGAGGAAGAAGAACGGCTGAGAGGTGAAGGTCAGACGCAGGTACGGGAGCATGGGAGCGGGGAGCAGGAAGCAGGGAGCACAGGAGCACTGGAGGAGGCGCGCAGTAGAGGCGAAGGGAAAGCAGGGGACGAAGCGGGGGAGGAACTGGGGGAAACTGGCGGTTCAAAGAGAAGCGGCAGACAAGGGAAGGAGGCGGAATGATGGGGGTAGCGGAAGGGGGTGACGGGGGAGTTGGAAAGCAAGTGGAAGGAGTTGGGTGGGGTGATGAGCGCGGTGGGAAAGTGGAGAAGTGGTGGAGCGGAAGGGGAACAAATTGGGGACTTGTGCTGTGGTGGTGCGCCACAAGTTGTGCTTTGATGTTTGCTACCCTAGTGGAAGCTATTTTCGTAGATAGAAAAACAAATAGTTACAGTTACACTTCAGAGTGCCTTCGATAATGTCGTGCGACACCAGCTGGTCAGTGTCCCTGCTTGCGCAATGCGTCTCGTCGCGACTAGTCCCGTGCGATGAAGATTTGTAGAATTGTGGAAGAGCACGACCCAATCAGGAGGCAAGCAACGGTCCAAAATTGTGCGAAACAATCCCTAGAGATTGGGTTGGCTTATCGGTCTGCCCCACAAGGAGCGGTTGGTCTTTATAACTGGGTTCCACGCGGTCTTGTAAGGTTAACAATGCATACGTGGGATTACAATACGGTGGACAGATAAAGTCGGCATTTCCCAAGAAACTGATCCCGCAATTGCTATGGTTCCGTCCGAGGCATTCGACTGTGGAATTTCTGCATTCCTGTGGTGAGGTGATAGATGCTTTTTCCCATTCCAGCCCTTCCTAATGGCTTCCGCTGCTTCATATTGCGCGAGCAACGCGATTTCTGGAACCATCAGCCATGGCAAAGCTTTACCACGCGCTTTTAACTGCTCAGTGAAGCTAGGAAGCACGTTACTTCTGAAATCGAACGCCCCGCGACTCCACCATGTCGTGGCGTCCAAGCGAAGTCATGGAGCTACACCCGTCCATGAGTCTCGAGTTCGAGGCTGTTTTGCGTCGCGAGATGGCGTGACATCAGCGGCTGTGACTGTAGAGGGGGCGACGGCCACGGAAGAAAAAATCGTTGAGGAAGAGCAGTTCGATTGGGACAAAGCCTGGTATCCAGTAGGTACGTGAATGATATGCTTTAGAGCGGCGGCATCATGAAAGTAAGCTCGGACTAGGAGTCGCCATATATTAGCAGATACTATGCCTGAGACTGTAGAAAAACGTGCATCAAGCTTAAATAGAAGAAGCTACTACTAGTAGCCAGGTTCATGGAGTACATTTGGATAATTGGATGGCTTGATATTCAAACATAGTTATTTTCAGCTGAACATGCTTGAATATCATAGGTCATTCTTAGCTTAGTTATGGGGAAAGCAGTCATAGGGCATGTCTTAGACAATCTAACCCCATCCTCCTTTACTACTTGTGTTTTCGGAATTCCTCCCATTCCTCCAGCTCCTCTTTCCGTTGTCTCCTGTTTCTCTCGGCCCTCTCTTACCAGAAAATGTCTCTGTCATTTCTCGCTTATATCCTTGATCTCACTCCCTTTTTCCCACAAACATAATCTCCCCCATTTACTCCCACGTGTTGAGTACATTCCCACCCCTTACCCCAACTCCTCAGCGGTCCCTCCCTTACAATCATCCCCCTCACTCCATTGTGTTAATCACACTTTCCTCCCATCACACCCCCCCTCACTGCACCTGCCAGCTCTCACCAAGACTCTGAACAAGCGCGTTCCTGAGCCTGTGACCATACTCGGCCGCCCATTGGTCATCTGGTTCGATCAGGTCTCCGACCAATGGCGGGTCTTCCATGACCTCTGCCCTCACAGGTACTCACAATAATTACCGTTCTTCTCTCTGTCACTCCTTTATTGCTTGTGAATCTGATAATAATCTGTTGATCTTTGAGTCATGTCAATTTACACAAGTTTCAGGGATACACGAGTGGGGCCAGCTGTTGCAGCACGGAAGGGCGTGTGTTCAAACCCCCGTTCTCTCGTCTTCACTTTCCCTTTTCCTGTTCCATGCTGTGTCCCTGTTCCTCCCAGCTCCCAGGCTAGCCCCGCTATCAGAGGGGCGGATCCACGAGTCAGGGCAGCTGCAGTGCTCCTACCACGGATGGACGTTCTCAGGAGAAGGTTCGTGCGGGTTCATTCCTCAGGCTCCCACGGACGGACCAGCGATGAGTGGGATACGTTATTTTTTCTATCATTCTGTGATATCAAGCAAAGGCTCGTGCGGGTTCATTCCTCAAACTCCCACGGACAGACCAGCGCTGAGTGGGATGCGCGAGTGAGTTAGAGGGTGGGAGGGGGGTATGGAGGGGGGGACAGAGGGTGGAGCGAAGGAAGATTGGAAGGATAGGAGTGTGGGAGGCGAACGACTATCCTTCCCCTTTCCCCTACCTGTGCTCCCCTTCCCCTTCCCTTCCTCCAGCATGTGGCCGCGCGTACCTGTCTGTTCTCACCTCCCATCAGCACTCTCGCCCATCTTCCCCCCTGCCCTAGCTCCTTCCCCCTTTTCCCTTGCCCCTTCCCCCCTAACCTTGCCAATGCCACCATACACTTGCACCTACTTTCCTGCCCTTGCCGTTTTTCCCCTTTCGCTTAATCCTCTTGCCCCTGCCCTTGCGCCTTCCCCCCTTGCCCTTTCCCATTCCTTCCTAACCTTGCCCCCTCTACCCTGCCCTTGCCCTTTTTCCACCTGCCATTACTCCTCTTGGCCCTGCCGCCCCCCCCCATCCTCCCAGGTGAACGCCTCCCCTCGAGCATGTGCGCGGGTGTACCCGTGTCGGGAGCATCAAGGCATCATCTGGTTCTGGCCAGATTTCTCCCCCTCCGCTGCTGCTGAAGCGGCTGCTGCCTCTCCTCCCCCAACCCTCCCTGAGTTTGACGACCCAACCTTTCGATACGACACGGGCATGTCGGACCTTGAATATGGGTGAGCTGGGATACGAGGTTTATGAGGTCTCAGATCTCCTCCGATTTCACCTCAAATATGGGTGACCTGCTTTTGTAGGACTGGTTGTTTGAAGATCCGAGCTTCCAATATGCCACGGGCATGTCTGTCCTTGAATATGGGTGAGCTGGATTACGAGGTTTATAAGGTCTCAGATCTCCTCCAATTTCACCTCAAATATGGGTGACCTGCTTTTGTAGGACTGGTTGTTTGAAGATCGGAGCTTCCAATATGCCACGGGCATGTCTGTCCTTGATTATGGGTGAGCCGGATTACGAGGTTTATGAGGTCTCAGATCTCCTCTGATGGGCATGTCCGTAATATGGATTACGGGCATGTCTGACCTTGAATATGGGTGAGCCGGTTGGTTTGTGTAATTATTCTTTTGAGTCGCCTCAAGACTCCACCTTCCGATACGACACGGGCAGGTCGGGCCTTCATTATGATGAGTGAGCTGGTTAGCAAAGCTGGGGTGGTGTTGAGACATCTCAGATTCGAGTTCGTCTCGAATCTCTCGCATGTGCTTCGAATGTTCCTGTCTTTTCCTCCCCCCTCCCCATTGCCCTCCCCTCTTTCTCCATTACCTCCCTCACCCTCCCCCACTTCCTACCGTCCCCACCGCCCACAGCTACGAAATGCTGATGGAGAATCTGTTGGACCCAGCACATGTGCCCTTCGTGTGTTTCCATCTGATATGGCCCATTCCCCTTCCAACGTCTCTTCCCCTATCACTCTCCCGGTCCCCTTCCCCCCTCCCCACAGCTACGAAATGCTGATGGAGAATCTGTTGGACCCAGCGCATGTGCCCTTCGCGCATCACAAGTACCAGGTGAGAACATCAAGGCTAGAACCAACACCAGGGTCTGATGCTCGTGGTAACCATTCTCACAATATTCACATCACCTGTCTAGCCCAGTGCATGGCACTAACCAGCATCACCGCACAAGGCGTTGAGGGGAACAAGCCTCGTATCCCTCCCTCTCATCCCTCCCCTCCCTCTCCCGCATTCCTGCATTCCCACCAATCACAGGGCGATCGCAACAAGGCGAGGCCACTGCCATCCATGGCCGTAGCCAGCATCACCGCACGAGGCATCGAGCGCACCAGCCTCAGATCCCCCACATCACCCCGTTGTTTACCCTCCCATACAATCTCTTCTCTTTAACATTCCCGCCAATCACAGGGCGATCGCAACAAGGCGAGGCCACTGCCATCCATGGCCGTAGCCAGCATCACCGCACAAGGCGTTGAGGGGAACAAGCCTCGTATCCCTCCCTCTCATCCCTCCCCTCCCTTTCCCCTCCCACATTCCTACATTACCAACGGTCACAGGGAGATCGCAACAAGGCAAGCCCACTGCCGTCCATGGTGGTAACCAACATCACCGAACGAGGAGATTTTTTTAGGTGCTTCAAGGAAACAAGCTTCTTATCCCTATTATTCCTCCCCTTCGATGTCCTTCCCACATTCCTACATTTTGCAGGGCGATCTCAACAAGGCAAGCCCACTGCCGTCCATGGTGGTAACCAGCATCACTGCGCGAGGCATTGAGGGTAACAAGCCTCTTATCCCTCTCGTCATTCTGCGGTGTGTCCTCTCCCCTCCCTGTTGCTTCCCACATTTCTGCATTCTCACCAATTACAGAGCGATCGCAACACGGCAAGCCCACTGCCGTCCATGGTGGTAACCAAAATCACTGCACGAGGCATCCAAGTTACAAGTCTTATTTCCCCCTCACATTTTGCAGGGTGATCGCAACAAGGCAAGCCCACTGCCGTCCATGGTGGTAACCAGCATCACTGCACGAGGCATTGAGGGGAACAGCTTTGTATTCGGCCCAGCTACTGTGGTGCCGCCCTGCACACTCATTCAGAAGCTCTATATCGGGGGAAAAGTGGTGAGGCCAATATGTTACAATCTCTTTTCTTCTTTCTTCTTTTTGGTGCTCTTTTTTTGTGTGGAAAAGTGGTGATCTCCATTCGTTATTATCACTGGTGTTCTGTATAGGCGCCTTTCTGAGGAACATGCATCCCCACCGAGTAGTTCACACCCTTCCCTTCCCTCCTATTGTCTGAGCAGCCAGAGGGGTCGGGTGAGAAGCAGCGCACAGTAATTCTGCTCTTCCATTGAGAAGCAGCATCCCCACCTGCCTTCCACATCTTCTGTGACCCATGCATCCCCACTGTGTGGCTTACCGACTTCCCTCCCTTCTTGCAACTCCGCTTTTCCTCCCCTCATCCTTCCTCTCTGAGCAGCCAGAGGGGTCGGAACAGAAGCAGTGCACGGTGATTCTCTTCTTCCATTGCATCCCCCACTTGCTTGCCTTCCTCCCCGCTGAACCATGTCATACATCCCCACTGATTATCGTACCCCCTTTCCTCCCTCACCACATCCTATTCTGAGCAGCCAGAGGGGTCGGGGCAGAAGCAGCGCACGGTGATTCTCTTCTTCCACTGCATTCCCCGCATGCCGGGTCAGAGCCGCCTCATCTGGTTCTTCCTCAAAAACACCCTACCGGCCTGGCAGCCCATGCCCCCTGAGTGGTTCGTGCACCTGCTGCGAATGAAAGTATCTGACACGGACCATGTTCTTCTGCATCTCACGGTATGTCTTTTCTTTGAGGCACCACAAAACTCATTCCCCGCATGCCGGGGCAGAGCCGCCTTGCATGGTTCTTCCTCAAGAACATCGTCCCAGCATGGATGCCCATGCCCCCCGAGTGGTTCGTGCACCTGCTGCGGATGAAAGTATCTGACACGGACCACGTCTTACTGCACCTCACAGTATGTCATTTAAAGGTGCCTCAATAATCATTCCCCGCCTGCCGGGTCAGATCCGCCTTGCATGGTTCTTCCTGAAGAACATCGTCCCAGCCTGGATGCCCATGCCTCCCGAGTGGTTCGTGCACCTGCTGCGGATGATTGTGTCTGACACCTTCCGACCACGTCTTACTGCACCTCACGGTACGCATTTTCTGCATTTTCTACCTCATTGCACGTTTCTTGGTATGAGTATTGAGGCGCCCCAAAACTCTGCTGCAGATGAGAGTATTCGGCACCGGCCACGTGTTGCTGCGCTGCACCTCACAGTATGCCTCTGTGCCTCACTGCACGCCTGGATGCCCATGTTCCCTTTGATCAAAGTTTCGAGGCGCCTCAAAACTCTGCTGCACCTCACGGTAGGCTGCTCCCCGCAACTCCTCTCAACTCCTCTCAACTCTTCTGTCTGTACATCCCCCCTCACTGCAGGAGTGGCGGCTGGAGGAAGAGGGAGGGGTGGTGCAGGGGGTACGGAGCTACTACACTCCCACATCGTCCGACTCGCTGTCTCTGCCTGTGCCTCCTTCACCCCTACCACCCCTATCACCTCTGTCCCCAACCCCCGGCACCTTTACCGGTTTCAGGAGAGGCGGCTGGAGGAAGAGGGGGGGGTGGTGCAGGGGGTACGGAGCTACTACACTCCCACATCGTCCGACTCGCTTGTCTTGGCCTGCTACCACCCATCTCACCTCTCTCTGTACCCTCCCTTCCCGCCCCCGCAACGCCTGCCTCTGGTACCTCTTCCTTCACTGCAGGAGCGGCGGCTGGAGGAGGAGGGAGGGGCGGTGGAGGGGATAAAGAGCTACTACACTCCCACATCGTCCGACTCGTTCATCTCGGCCTTCCGCTCCTGGCTGAGAAGGTTTGCGGGCGGCAAGGCCCGTTTCCCCGCCTATGTGGATCCGAAGCTGCCTCCTGCCAAGTCCCGGCGGGAAATTCTCGACAGGTGAAAATGAGTGGGCTTGGTCTCAACAGATGAGAGAGTGAGTGCTTGGTATTGACAGGTGAGAATGAGTGATATTTGTTACGTCTAGAAAATCAGGTGAGAGTGAGTGCTTGGTATTGACAGGTGAGGATGAGTGCTTGGTATTGACAGGTGAGAGAATGAGTCTCCCCCTTCAAACTCCTCCACCCCCCCTTAACCCGCAGGCAGCGCTTCCACGTGCGGCTGTGCCCCGACTGCCAGCGGGTGCAGCGCTGGTCTGACCGCCTCCGCATCGCCCTCTGGGCCGCCACCCTCCTCCTGCTCGCCGCCACCGCCCTACTCCCCTTATCCCCTCTCCCCTCCCTACCCCCACACGTCTCCCTCTTCTCCAATGGCATGTTCCAGGACACAGAGGAGCTGTTCTTGCCTTTCCTGACCCCTCGCACCCGTTCTCCCGCTACCCACCCCCCCCCCCCCCCCCCCCCCCCCCCCCCCAAAACCCCCCACACTCTCAGGCAATGCTTCCACGTGCGGCTGTGCCCTGACTGCCAGCGAGTGCAGCGCTGGTCTGACCGCCTCCGCATCGCCCTCTGGGCCGCCACCCTCCTCCTCCTCGCCGCCACCGCCCTGTTTCCCCTTGCCCCACCCGCCATAAAGAACGCAGTGGGTCCGGCTGGTGCTGTCTTCGCAGCAGCGGCTGCGGTGGTGTGTGCAGCTGCTGCCCACTGGTTGAAGGGGTTTATTGAGAGGAATTATGTGTATGAGGACTTTGTTCATGCGCTCTGGTACCCTGCGAAGAAATCAGCTTAAACAACTACGGTAGTTTGGGTTTCGGAGGCAGTCAGACCACCAGGACTAACATACTTAAGCGAGGCTTGGTTTTTAGTGATTGTGACACCTATATTTGAGACACGTCCTCGCAGGAATACAGTACCCTAAATCACAGCTGCCCGGAAAATACTCGTTTCTATGTGTACATACCGGTACTAGATACGCTTTGCCTATGATTCATAACTCGTGACTAATTACCGATGGGTCAAATCCCTAGCACCACCAACAGCACCAGCACCATTAGCACCAGCACCGCCAGCAACAGCAGCAGCAGCAGCAGCAGCAGCATTGTCACGTTTCACCGCATGACCTTCGACGACCATCAGGTGTAACAACACGTCACAGGTGTCCGGAGAACCCCCGATCATGAGCATTATACGTGCTAGTATATGCACCACTACCATCCCCTACAGCACCACCAGTACCACCAGCAGCAGCACCACGTGAAAATATGTTCTTCAAGAGTTGCCGGCCGCGCCGATGTGGTGTAGTGGACCTCCTATCACTGCCCTCCACGTCATCAAGACCCGAAGCCCCCACGGAATGCAGGGAGGAGGCAACGAAGGGGAAGTGCCCCTTGGGAGTGGTGGGCTCCTGTGGGAACGGGTGGGAGGGAGGAGAAAGGGAAGGAATCACAGGAGTGTGAGGGTGTGTGGACTGGTTCTGAGAGGTTGCAAATCGGTTCCAAGGGGTGGTACACTGCAGTAGAGGGTCGCTGACCCCCACGCATGTCATTAACACCCAATGCCCCTCTCTTGTGCGGGGAGGAGGCAATGAGAGGGCCCTGGGTCTTGGGAATGGTGGGCTCTTGCGGGAATGGGCCGGAAGAATACGGGCAAGGAATTACTCGAGCGAAAAAATAAGGGGTTTCTGGGTCTACAGGTTAAGTAAGTGTGGCTCTTTCTTGCAATGGAGATCGTAGTACCTTGCTTTGTCGAGCGTGCAAGCCTCGGTGCCCCATGTGTTGCGAGAGCGAGTGGGAGAGCGAGTGCATGAGGTCGTGAGACTGTGAAAGGTTGTGAGTTTTCTGCCAAGACACGGTTCCACAGTTTCCAAGTTGGTATTTCTGGGTATTACCTTGTTTTGCCGAGCGTGTGAGCCTCGGTGCCCCATGTGTTGCGAGAGCGAGTGGGAGAGTGAGTGCATGAGACCATGCGACTGTGAAAGGTTGTGCGAGCGCGACAGGTTGGAGAAATGGGGAAGGTTCTGAGAGTGCGAGAGGTTTGGTGAGTGCGAAAGGTTGGGTGAGTGTGAGAGGTTGTGTGAGTGCGATTGTTTCCGCGACAATATCTTGTCAGCAGAGTGAGGTGTTGTAGATGATGGGTTGGAGAGGGTTGATGAGAAGTGGGGAACGGCAGAGGAGGAGGAGGGGAAGGAGGACGAAAAGGAGGGGAAGGAGGAGGAGGACGAAGAGGAAGAGGAGGGTGGTAAGCCGGCTAAGCAGTCGAGAGATGCACGGACCGATGGCACACCTGACGCAGAGAGATGGGGAAGACAGGAGAAAAATCAGAACGAACAACAAATGAGTACACTGAGTATTCCAAGTAGCAAAGCTCGCACCTGCACCATCCAACTGCTTTGAAGCTTGTGTGCGTTGCGTGCACTCACTACCGGGTACACTAGACACCTTATGCTCTGCTTTCCATGACGCATCAAGGAGAGACTGAAGCTAGTGTTGCGCCACTCACCAGCCGTGGCCGAATGAGTTTCAAGAATTTTCAAAAGTGATTTCCATGTAAATGATGTCCTTTTGAGAATTCTCAGAAGCGTTTTCCATGACGCATCAAGGTGATACTGAAGCCAGTGTTGCGCCACTCACCAGCCGTGGCCGAACGAGTTTCAAGAATTTTCAAAAGTGATTTCCATGTAAATGATGTCCTTTTGAGAATTCTCAGAAGCGTTTTCCATGACGCATCAAGGAGATACTGAAGCTAGTGTTGCGCCACTCACCAGCCGTGGCCGAACGAGAGACAAGGCGAATCTGTTTTTTTGAGAATTCTCAAAAAACAGATTCAGCCTTTCCATGATGCATCAAGGTGATACTGAAGCTAGATACTGCTTCCCTTACGCCACTCACCAGCCGTGGCCGAACGAGGGACAAGGGAGGACGAAGCGAGATTGTCGAGAAGGCTGCACGGAAGAGTGGGGGAGGAGAGGAGGAAGCGACGGGCGAAGGGGAAGAGAGAGGGGGAGAAGAGGGGACGTTTGAAGACTGAAATGGTGTCATTGAAGATCCCATGTCCTTGTGAGGGTTGATAGAGAGCTTTCTGACTCATAATTCGAAGGGCTGCAGTGCGTGATGCTGACGCTTAACAACAGGATCAACAGCTAAAACAGTAGTGAAAAAAGTGGATCTAAAAAACCCTTAGTCTCGAAAAGGTGAAGACTGAAATGGTGTCATTGAAGATCCCATGTTCTTGTGAGTGTTGATAGAGAGGGGAGGTACCACACTATGCATACACACAGTCTTGTAAAACAGGCAGGTACTACACTTATAGCTCGACAAACTAGCTTACGTCTAAAAAAAGTAACATTTTGAGACGTCTCAAAATGTCAATTTTATCACGTGGCTTGTAAAACAGGCAAGGTGAGAGGGAAGGAAGGGTGGGAGAGAAGGAAGGGTGGGAGGGAGGGTGGGAGGGAAGGAAGGCATGAGATGGGGTGAGCGCATGGGATTGATGGATGGACGGATTGAATACGGAATTATGATACTTGATGCTCACCTTGTAGGGGAGGCTCGAACCCGACCGGACTCACCTCTTGTAGGGGAGGCAGAATAGCCCGACCCATACTGGAAGCATTCCCGTTCCATGCATGCTGCTGCTGCAGCTGTTGATGCTGGTGCTGCTGATGGTGCTCGTGCTGCTGCTAGTGCTGGTGTTGACGCTGCTGCCGCTGCTTCAGCTATGGCAGGGAAGGCATCGGAGAGGGATAGGAGGGAAAGGGAAAGAAACAGGGTGATAGAATGAAGCGCCTTAAGTGAAGCGTAACAGGGAAAGGGAAGGAACATTAGGGGATGCTGAGACACATGGGAGGAGGAGGGAAACGGAGAGAAGAGATGGCGTAACTGCTTGCAGCAGCATAATTATTGGTTTACCAGGTAGCAGGTAGCTCTTTGGCATGCGGCTGGTTGCCCTGGGCTGCTGCTGTCGGTTCAGCACACACCTAGCACACTGATTCATTCACCTCACACCGATTCGCCCACCTGCCACCACAGCTATTTTCTCACCAGGTAGCAGGTAGCTCTTGGGCATGCGGCTGGTTGCTCTGGGCTGCTGCTGTCGGTTCAGTGCATTGCGGCCCGAATACTCCCAGCACGCCCGCACACGCTGTGGCATAGAGGAGGGGGGGCACATTCACACATGCATGCGCACACGCACACACGCACGTGCACCCGCGCACGAACACACGCACATGCGCAAGCATGCACGGACAAACACACACCGATACACACAGAGATGCAATTGGCTCACTAAAGCTAACGAGGATGCCAGTTACGATCGGTTAGGGAGAATCCGCTTCGCCTGCCCTTCCACCCCCTCCCTCTACAATCACACACACACACACATGAACGTACATGCCCGCATACCTCAGCAGCTGACGCCACCCTGACGTCAGCAGCAGCCATCTCCTTGGCCTGCAGGGAGATGGCATCGGTGAAGCGATCGGCCGCAGCGCCAATGCGATCCACCACTGATACCAGCATGCTCACTGCATAGTCGCGCACGTTGTGCAGCTCTCTGCGTTGGGAGAAACACAGTAGAGGAAAGGAGGGGAAATAGCACGGCATTAGGATATGAGGTTGGCAGCAGCGCCAATGCGATCCACCACTGATACCAGCATGCTCACTGCATAGTCGCGCACGTTGTGCAGCCCTCTGCGTTGGGAGAAACACAGTGGAGGAAAGGAGGGGAAATAGCACGGCATAAGGATATGAGGTTGGCAGCAGCGCCAATGCGATCCACCACTGATACCAGCATGCTCACTGCATAGTCGCGCACGTTGTGCAGCTCTCTGCGTTGGGAGAAACACAGTGGAGGAAAGGAGGGGAAATAGCACGGCATAAGGATATGAGGTTGGCAGCAGCGCCAATGCGATCCACCACTGATACCAGCATGCTCACTGCATAGTCGCGCACGTTGTGCAGCTCTCTGCGTTGGGAGAAACACAGTGGAGGAAAGGAGGGGAAATAGCACGGCATAAGGATATGAGGTTGGCAGCAGCGCCAATGCGATCCACCACTGATACCAGCATGCTCACTGCGTAGTCGCGCACGTTGTGCAGCTCTCTGCGTTGGGAGAAACACAGTAGAGGAGGAGAGATAGCGAGGCCAAGGGTGAAGCGATCGGCCACAGCGCCAATGCGGTCAACCACGGATACGAGCATGCTCACCGCATAGTCCCGCACGTTGTGGATCTCTCTGGATTGAACGGAATAGTGTAGAGAAGAGGGGAGATAGCGGGCAATAAGCATGTGAGAATGAGCAGCAGCTCCGATGCGGTCCACCACAGATACCAGCATGCTCACCGCGTAGTCCCTCACGTTGTGGAGCTCTCTGGGAGGGGAGGGAACAGGGGGCACACACATGCACGATTGAGTATCAGCAAGTCAATGCGGTCCACCACCGAGACCAGCATGGTCACTGCGTGATCCCTCACGTTGTGCAGCTCTCTGTAAGGTGAGGGAACAGGGGGCACACACATGCACGATTGAGTATCAGCAAGTCAATGCGGTCCACCACGGACACCAGCATGCTCACTGCATAGACCCGCACGTTGTGCAGCTCTCTGGGTGAAGAAGAAGTAGAGGGAAAGAGGGAAGCTAGCAAGGCATATGCACGTGAGATTGAGAAGCAGCGCTGATGCGGTCCACCACGGACACCAGCATGCTCACTGCATAGTCCCTCACGTTGTGCATCTCTCTGTGTGAGGAGGAAGTAGGGGGCACACACATGCACGATTGAGTATCAGCAGCGCTGATGCGGTCCACCACGGATACCAGCATGCTCACTGCATGCTCCCGCACGTTGTGCAGCTCTCTGTGTGAGGAGGAACCAAAGCATCAGGGGAAAAGGCTGGATGGCTGGATGACTGAATGGCTAGATGACTGGATGGCTGGATGGCTGGATGGCTGGATGGCTGGATGACTGGATGGCTGGATGGCTGGATGGCTGGATGGCTGGATGGCTGGATGGCTGGATGGCTGGATGGTTGGATGACTGAATGGCTGGATGGCTAGATGGGTGGATGGCTGGATGGATAGATGGCTGGATGGGTGGATGGCTGGATGGATAGATGGCTGGATGGGTGGATGGTTGGATGGCTGGATGGGTGGATGGCTGGATGGCTGGATGGGTGGATGGGTGGATGGCTGGATGGCTGGATGGCTGGATGGGTGGATGGGTGGATGGCTGGATGGCTGGATGGATAGATGGCTGGATGGGTGGATGGTTGGATGGCTGGATGGCTGGATGGGTGATGGATAACAGGGTGGCAGGGTAAACGGCTTAAACAGCACGGAGACAAGCTAAGGAAACGAGGCACAATATTACTTATTTCTTACATGTCCTTTTGGTCCGTGACAAGATAGGCCTCCTCTGCATACGTGGCAGCATCCAATAGGGTGGGTTGCAAGTCACGCAGCTCCTGCATTCACAAGGCGTGGAATTCAGCAGAAGCTTTGGATTAACGATGCAACAGTCCTTCAGAGAATGAACTAAACCTCTCCAGAATTCCGTGCCTAGGAACGTCCCTGTCTTCACATGCTCAGGCTCCTTGCTACCTCACGGTAACGCTAACTACCTGCAAGGTCTTGACAGTGGCCATTGTCAGGTATTGAAATGTACGTGTCGCGTCCGCAATCTATCTAATGGTTTCTGCGGTTTATATCTATCAGAAGTTTAGCTCACGAACCTGAATGCTTCGTTGCAACATCTTGTCAAACGGATCCGTACTCGCTTTTGCCATTCCTGCTACACGAAAGTATCGAACCCTCGACCACGCAGTCCACAGAAAACCGTACAGGGGACAAGCAATGACAACTTGGGAACTGAGAAGCTTTCGCCTGTAAGATAGAGCTGGTTCCGCTCGACAGCCGATTATCTGTGACTGCACACGTCACAAAATTCCTGGCCCCAAAAACATGCCCACAATTGTAGCATACTTTCAGGTATCCTACGTGAGCTATGTTCGAACTGCTTCCAATGATGCAGGGAACTATGCTGCGAAGGTTGGGTTTCTGGAAAGCCACCCACAGTCAGACCCGTTTTAGTGTTAAGTTCATTCTCCATGCAATTGTTAATATTCTTGTCGTTCATCCGCACCAGCATCTACACCCGGCAGTTTGCGTACTGAAACCAAACCTTCGTGCCAAACCTAGTGCCAGGTCGTGGTTGGTGTAAAGTATCATCACAACGTGTGCTGGATTATTTTCACCGACAAAATTGGGATCCCTCGAGTCCAGCGTGCTGCGACGTGGCCACAACACGCTCTGCGTCAGAAGCATCTGGTTACACGGCGATTTTCTCCAGCGTTGCAGGAACCTCACAGCATGCCGAAAACCATTGTTACAACGTAGCTGGTTCACAGAATTCGGCACATGGCGAAACATGCTCCTGCGCTGACCGCGGTTCTGTGCTTCCCTGAACTCAACTCTTCTCATCCCCTCGAGCACCTATTTCAACCGAGCAAACTCGCTTTTGATTCAGATTTTCTTGGCAGTCCCATCCCCTCGAGCGACTTGTTTGTTCTCCAATGTTCTAGCTCGTCGCTTTAGCATCGCGTGCCATTCGCTTAGCAGCCAACTTATTTTTTTCTCGCTTATCCTCACCCACCAATTTTAAAAGCGCCGTTTAATCTTCTTTTTTTATTTCTGTTTTGTTTTTCTTTCTCTCTATGTTCTCCCTTGTCCGCCAGCTTTAGCGTCGCTTGCCACCTCGTACTCCCAGCCGCCATTCGTACCGCGCAGCGCCCTCGCCTGGTCGCGCAAGATTTTCCGCGTCTTGCGCGTGCGCCCTCTCCTTATCGTCGACCCGCCCTCGTCTCCGTCATCGAACTCGACTGGTCGTCCACCGGAGACGCGTTTTTTGGCGCTCTCCTCATCTCTTCTTGCTCCTCCACGCTCTTCTGGCGAGCTGGAGATGGGTACCGCGAATCCGGCGTCACCGCGTGCGTCGAGGGCAGCGTCATCCTGCTCGCAGTCAGTGCTCGCTTGCTCAGGATTCCTCAACGCTCCTATGGTGGCCTTATCGACTCTTGACTCGCAATCCTCAGTAGCTCCCCCTGATCCCTCGGGGGGAATGAGGGAGCAGCGGGGGAGGTAGCGATAAGGGGGATGTGGCAACTAAGGGGGATGCAGTGATGGGAGGGATGGGGGAGCAGGGGGGGAGACAGCTATGGGGGGGATGAGGGAGCAGGGTGGAAGGCAGCTATGGGGGGGAAGAGGGAGCAGGGTGGGGAGACAGCTATGGGGGGGATGAGGGAGCAAGGTGGGGAGACAGCAACAGGGGGAATGGGGGAGCAGCGGGTGAGGCAGTGACAGGAATGGGGGAGCAGTGAGGGAGGCAATGACGGGGGGGAGGGTGGGGGAGCGTCGGGGGAGGTAGCGACGGGGAGAAGGAGGGAGCAGCGGGGGAGGTAGCGATAAGGGGGATGTGGCACCTAAGGGGGATGCATTGACAGGGAGGAAGCAGGAGCAGTGGGGGAGGCAGCGATGGGGGGATGGGTGAGCAGTCGGGGAGGCATTGATGGGGGGGTGAGGGAGCAGTAGATGAGGGGATGAGGGAGCAGTTGGGGAGGCAGTGATGGGGGGAATGTGAGACGGGGAGGGGGCAACGAGGGAGATGAGGGAGCAGAGGGAGAGGTAGTGATGGGGGATGTGGAAGCAGAGGGGAAGGCAGTGATGGGCTCTTTCTCTTGCAATGATACTGCACTGCTGATAGAGGCTCCTCATCTCCCCCTGCATTATACCAGGGTAGGTTGGATGGCGCATTGTTTCGAAGAGCTTGTTATTGTAGGCTTTGTACTGTAGAGTCGGATGCAACAAGCACCCCTGATGTGTTTGATTTGTGAATGTATGACTACTGGGTAATTTATGGCTTTTTAAAACTGATACTGTATGAACAACCAAAAAACATATTGCAATGACAGGTCATGCTGCTGGTGGGCAAATATGACTATACGAAATGCTGCCTATAATGAGTGGATGTTCTTATAATGATAGTTTGCAGTGTCACAAATGCCCTGTAAGATTTTACATATGTATACGTTGTGTCTTTGCATTTTACGTTAGTGTACAAACTGTTACACAACGCTATACAGAAACGAGTTTCCCTTTGACGTTGTTCACCTAGTGGCGGAGGGGATTGTTCGTAGCAAGATGTGGGCTTCCAAAAAGAATGCGCGAGGTATGCAGCAACATACCCCCAGCAATGATCCACTTAATGTCACAAGTATGTTCCGTTTGCCATACTTTGAACTATGTTAAAGCCCGTGTCCCAAATTGCGGGCCGCGCGGGTCAAGCTTTTAAAACTTGAAGAAGTGGGCTGTGCAAGCTTTGAAAAGAAGCGCACCTGCAATTTGGAACTTTCGAGGTCTGACACACCCACAAGGGTAAAAACGAGGGGCTGGCTGGGTTTGGCGAAAAAAACAAATTTGACGAAATCAGAAACACTCGCCAAAGCCCAAACTACCAAAACTCCCTCGCGTCAACTTTTTAAAACTTGTGCAATTTGGGTCAACGGCTTTAAAACATTCTTTCAGCATAGTTTTTTGGGGCCTAAATTTTGTGACGCAATTAATGATATTCCACTACTTCATATCGCACTACACCACAAAAAAGTCCCTATGAAGCTGAGGTTAGGACTCAGGCAGCATCAGTTTCTTCGTATCGCACAAAAGGACCCAATCAGCTATTCTGGTCTACGTCGTCCCAAATAGTATAGCGTGCTAGTGAACTGAGTCGCCACTGCTCGGAAGGAGAGGTGAGCTCGAGCTTGGGTGGAAAACACTGGCTGGGTTTTGACTTTGGCTGCCACTTTTCCAAGCCGTGGTTCGCCTGAACCAAACTCGAGAATCATGTTTGAGAGAGGTATCGGTATACACTATCAATGAAAAAAAAAAAAAAATGTTTGAGAGAGGTGAGGCATGGTATAGTGCGTTACACCTGATTTCAGCGTGGTTTGTTGCGGCAACTTCAACCAGATTGACCCGTCAGCATGAGTACGCCGTCAGGGGGCGGAGCGTGTTCCTGGGAGTTCAAGGAATACGTGCCGAGAAACGGCTGACTGACACCCCCAGACGCACCCCTGGTTCCTGGTTCGGGCTAGTCAGACGCGGCATTGAGGGGAACCGTACCGTGCCAGGGAAAGGCTCGGGAGTGAGGCTCGGTTGGTTTTGGAGAATGTCGATGTCCAGACGAGGCGCTTCATCTGAACTGGTGGGCTTCGTAAAAATGTCTCGCTTGGGGGATGGCGCGACTTACTAGAAGCGTGCATTCTATACTACACGACGAAACCATAAAATTATAGAAGTTGAAAGCATTCTACAGAATTTGCACCCAAAGGATTAGCCTACCGTAAGAAAGCATGATGCACAAAGCCCAGGGTAAACATGGGAGGGGTCTTTCTGAAACGCAAATATACACCCAACAATCGCATGCTTGATTCATAAATATATGTCCATAATGCATCTAATGCGTCAACCATTGACCGACAATCATTTGTTGAGAGTGGTGGAGTACATGAGCTCTCCAAAAACACCATAAAACCTGACAGTCAGGGAGTTCCTGGATACCTCCAGGGAACTAAAACCCTGACCAGGAAAAAAGAAGCGCAGGCCTGGAGCGACAGGGGGGGCGTCGCCTCGCCACGCCTTGGATCCCCCACCCACCGTGAAATAGTGAACAGGACTGAATCAAGGGAGATGTCGGATAGGAGACAGAAAAGTGAACGTATGTAGGAATAATTAGAGTTCTTGTTTTAGGGCCCCGGAGATAATGACTAGGGAAAAATGATGTGCCAAAAGGGGGCATGGTATGAGTGCGCAAGCACGGGGTTGACAGCTGAAATTGAACAAAGGTTCAGATCAGTGATCTTAGCCCATGCTGCGGATCAGGGCTCAGAATTGAATATAGGGCTCACCTCTCATCCTTTTTTATGTGCTGCATGTTGTGATCGTGACCGTTGATTTAAACGTCTACACCGTACTTCTGATAGTGTCACAAGCAAAATGGAACAGTGCAGGGGGGGTTTTGGCAGGAATCATAAATGAGTGCTTATTCTCACATGTGTCATGTGTGTCAAAACACAAGTAACACACTTTGTTCTCACACATTTGATGTACTTCAGGGTTCCAAGAAACCAGGTTTATTACTCCCATGTGTTACTAAAACACAACAACATGGAAAGGTGAAGAAGCCAAGCCAACAGCAATAAACGTTTTGCTACATGACAAAATCACCACATCAATAAGAAAAAGAAACGAATCAGAAGAAAAAAACCTATCCTGACCTCACCTCCAGCAGGGGCTTGATCCTATCGACCATCTCGGGCTGGTCGCCGTGCTTGCCATAGCTGAACACCGGGTGATGCACCCCCATCAGTCCCAGGGTTCCTGACACACCTGAGAAATCGACTCCTATACACAAGGTGTAGGGTTCTGAACCCTAAGCCCTGAATTTTAGATCAGCCTTACCTCCAGCAGGGGCTTGATCCTGTCCACCATCTCCAGCTGGTCACCGTGCTTGCCATAGCTGAACACCGGGTGGTGCGCACCCACCACCTTCCACCTCCACCTCCCAGGCTTACAGACGCTCCTACATGACCAACTGCTATGCACACTGACTTCCCTTTCAGGCCTCCATCTCATCTCAAACAGGGGATTGATCCCACCTCAAGCAGGGGGCGGTTTGTCTCACCTCCAGCAGGGGCTTGATCCTATCCACCATCTCCAGCTGGTCGCCGTGCTTGCCATAGCTGAACACCGGGTGGTGCGCCCCCACCACCTTCCCTTCCTGAAGTGAAGGGCTTTACTCCTATAGACAGACTACCCTTTCAAGCCTCAGACTCACCTCCAGCAGGGGCTTGATCCTGTCCACCATCTCGGGCTGGTCGCCGTGCTTGCCATAGCTGAACACCGGGTGGTGCGCCCCCACCACCTTCCACCGCGCCTGCGAGTTGCTCAGCCACCCCTCCAGCTCCTGCAACAAGGTACAACAAGGGAGATGCATATGCTTGTGTGAGCGTGTGTGTGTGCATTCGTGGCTGCACGTGTGAATGCCCACCACCTTCCACCGCGCCTGCGAGTTGCTCAGCCACCCCTCCAGCTCCTGCAACAAGGTACAACAAGGGAGATGCATATGCTTGTGTGAGCGTGTGTGTGTGCATTCGTGGCTGCACGTGTGAATGCCCACCACCTTCCACCGCGCCTGCAAGTTGCTCAGCCACCCCTCCAGCTCCTGCAACAAGGTACAACAAGGGAGATGAATATGCTTGTGTGAGCGTGTGTGTGTGCATGCGTGGCTGCACGTGTGAATGCCCGCCACCTTCCACCGCGCCTGCGAGTTTGCCATGTGCCACATCGGAGACGCATATTCTTCTTGATGTAAACGTGCAGGGCTTTTGAGAATTCTCAGAATATGGGAGAAGATGAATACGCTTGGTGTAAGTGTGGAGTGCTATTCATGCATGCATGAGAGTGTACTGTGCACGCCTGTGCATCTATGCATGTGTGTGTGCGGTGGTGGTATGGGAGGGGGAGAAGAAGGGGAGGGAGGGTTCGCGTGTGTGTTTGTGAAAAGCCGAGTATATACCAAAATCAGATCAAAAGCACGCACCTGCAGCTGCGCCTCCCCCTGGCGGCTCCAGTTGCCTGTGTTGAGCCCCCGCCAGTCCACCCGCCTGCCCCCCTTGTGAAACAGGTCAACAAAGTCAACGCAGTCAATACAGTCAGCCCCTCACCTGCAGCTTTGCCTCCTCCTGGCGGCTCCAGTTGCCTGTGTTGAGCCCCCGCCAGTCCACCCGCCTGCCCTCCTTGTGGCGGTATGCCGGGATCAGCGGCATTGAGTCGTACAGAAACAGGTCAACAAAGTCAACGCAGTCAACGCCCTGCCCCCCTCCAGAGTCAACGCAGTCAACGCCCTGCCCTCCTCCAGAGCCAACGCGGTCAACGCCCTGGCCAGCCGAGTCAACGCTTTTTGCATCCATCTCGGCACAGACGGGGAGCGAGAGGGCCATGCTGCGACGGCAGGTCCATCGAGGGTCGCGATTGGCCAGCGCTGGGTGCAGCTGGGCTAACACGTTTCCGTAGTAATCATGGTTTCCCAGGACTGAAGGTGAAGAGGGAGAAGGATAAGGGGAAAAGGAAAGGTTGTGACTGGCTGTTGCTGAGTGCAGCAGCTGGGCTAGCACGTTCCCATAGTAGTCATGGTTTCCCAGGACTGAAGGTGAACAGGGAAAGAAAGAGAAGGAGAAGGGGAAAAGGAAAGGTTGTGACTGGCTAGTGCTGAGTGCAGCAGCTGGGCTAGCACGTTCCCATAGTAGTCATGGTTTCCCAGGACTGGAGTTAACGGAGGGAGAAGGGGAAGGGGAAGGGGAAAAGGAAGGGTCATGATGGGTCAGTGTAGGGTGCAGCTGGGCTAGCACGTTCCCATAGTAATCATGGTTTCCCAGGACTGGAGATGAAGGGGCGGGTGGGGAAGGAGAACAGGGGAACGGAGAAACAGAGGAAGAAGGAATTGGGACAAGGAAAGAGGGATGGATGTTGGCGATTGGCCAGGGCTGGATGCAGGTGGGCTAACGCGTGCGCTTACCAGCAGATACGGGGCTCACCTGCATACCAGGGGATCTGCAGGCTGCGGTGGGTGTAGATGTTCGTGAAGGACTGGGAGACGAACTGGGGGGCATTCACGTCTGCAAGGCCCAGCCCAGCTACAGGCGAGCACTCTCACTTACTCACCAGCACGTACGGGTTCACCTGCGGGTTTAGCAGCAGCACATGCGGGCTCACCTGCATACCAGGGGACCTGCAGGCTGCGGTGGGTGTAGATGTTGGTGAAGGACTGGGCGAACTGCGGGGCCATTAACGTCTGAACGGCGCAGCACTGCTACAGGCGAACACTCTCACTCACCAGCACGTACGGGGATAGCAGCACACGCGGGCTCACCTGCATACCAGGGGACCTGCAGGCTGCGGTGGGTGTAGATGTTGGTGAAGGACCTTTCAGGCGGCCTTACCTGCATATGGGGGCAACACATTGGGCATGTACGGGGCTCACCTGCATACCAGGGGATCTGCAGGCTGCGGTGCGTGTAGATGTTGGTGAAGGACTGGGCGAACTGCGGGGCATTCACGTCTGAACGGCGCAGCACTGCTACAGGCGAACACTCTCACTCACCAGCACGTACGGGGATAGCAGCACACGCGGGCTCACCTGCATACCAGGGGACCTGCAGGCTGCGGTGGGTGTAGATGTTGGTGAAGGACCTTTGAGGCGGCCTTACCTGCATATGGGGGCAACACATTGGGCATGTACGGGGCTCACCTGCATACCAGGGGATCTGCAGGCTGCGGTGCGTGTAGATGTTGGTGAAGGACTGGGCGAACTGCGGGGCATTCACGTCTGAACGGCGCAGCACTGCTACAGGCGAACACTCTCACTCACCAGCACGTACGGGGATAGCAGCACACGCGGGCTCACCTGCATACCAGGGGACCTGCAGGCTGCGGTGGGTGTAGATGTTGGTGTAGGACCTTTCAGGCGGCCTTACCTGCATATGGGGGCAACACATTGGGCATGTACAGGGCTCACCTGCATACCAGGGGATCTGCAGGCTGCGGTGGGTGTAGATGTTGGTGAAGGACTGGGCGAACTGGGGAGCATTCACGTCTGGAAGGCCGAGCTCAAGAAAATTGTCTCCCAGAGAGACCACGAACTGGGGGTGCATGTGGCTTCCCACCTCGCCCATCTGGTTTGCAGGGACGGGAGGTGAGGGGATAGGCAAGCAACAAAGGAGGTGGGGCGAATTGGGGGGCATTGACGTCTGGAAGGCCGAGGTCGAGGAAGTTGTCTCCCAGAGAGACCACGAACTGGGGGTGCATGTGGCTTCCTTCCCACCACGCCCATCTGGTTGGTGAGCGGAGATGAAAGGTGAGGGGATGGGCAAGCAAGGAGGTTACAACATTGGGGAGCATTGACGTCTGGCAGGCCGAGGTCGAGGAAGTTGTCTCCCAGCGAGACCACGAACTGGGGTTGTGTTGTATGTGGGCGCCAATTAGGCCCATCTGATTGGGATGCAGGGGTCGGAGTGGGGGGATGGGGGACGAGGAAGGAGGTGAATGATAAACGGGCATTGACGCCTGGAAGGCCGAGCTCCAGGAAGTTGTCTCCCAGAGAGACCACGAACTGGGGGTGCATGTGGGCTCCGATCAGGCCCATCTGGTTGGGATGCAGGGGAAGTGGGGGGATGGGCAAAGAACAAAGGAGGTGGGGAGATCTGGTGGGCAATCACGTCTGGGAGGCCAAGCTCGAACAAGTTGTCTCGAAGGACCAGAGAATGCTGCTTCTGGTTATGCCTTGGAAACGTCTCAAGAGGTATTTATTTCCCAGCCCTTGCTTGGATTCTGAATGCATTGCACGCTTTCCTGCAATACCTGCTTGGCGATCAGTGACTGGTTAAACGTGCCATTCCTTCCCCAATCTCCAAACGCAAAGAAGCGAACAGGTGCAACGCTGCTGCTGCTGCTGCTGTTCCTGTGCTCGCCGCTGCCGCCGCCATTGCTCTCTGGGACCACACCTTCATCGTATGCAACAGCCAGAGGCGATTGCTGCATATGCAGCTCTGACTTTTGAGTCTACTCAAAAGTCACCCCGTTGCTCTTTCTGACCACGCCTTCATCGTATCCAACAGCCAGAGGCGATTTCTGCATATGCAGCTCTGGCTGCACATGCAACTCTGGCTGCATCGCTGCGTGAATCCGCACATACGATGGGAGGGGCTCCATCCCTGCATCGTCAGGTATCTGCTGCATGTCCGGTGGGACGGGATGCATGGTTGTCTGCTTCTGCATGTGTGGCTGCATGCCTGCCTGCTTCTGCATGTGTGGCTGCATGCCTGCCTGCATCTGCATGTGTGGCTGCATGCCTGCCTGCTTCTGCATGTGTGGCTGCATGCCTGCCTGCTTCTGCATGTGTGGCTGCATGCCTGCCTGCATCTGCATGTGTGGCTGCATGCCTGCCTGCTTCTGCATGTGTGGCTGCATGCCTGCCTGCATCTGCATGTGTGGCTGCATGCCTGCCTGCTTCTGCATGTGTGGCTGCATGCCTGCCTGCTTCTGCATGTGTGGCTGCATGCCTGCCTGCATCTGCATGTGTGGCTGCATGCCTGCCTGCTTCTGCATGTGTGGCTGCATGCCTGCCTGCATCTGCATGTGTGGCTGCATGCCTGCCTGCTTCTGCATGTGTGGCTGCATGCCTGCCTGCTTCTGCATGTGTGGCTGCATGCCTGCCTGCATCTGCATGTGTGGCTGCATGCCTGCCTGCTTCTGCATGTGTGGCTGCATGCCTGCCTGCATCTGCATGTGTGGCTGCATGCCTGCCTGCTTCTGCATGTGTGGCTGCATGCCTGCCTGCTTCTGCATGTGTGGCTGCATGCCTGCCTGCATCTGCATGTGTGGCTGCATGCCTGCCTGCTTCTGCATGTGTGGCTGCATGCCTGCCTGCATCTGCATGTGTGGCTGCATGCCTGCCTGCTTCTGCATGTGTGGCTGCATGCCTGCCTGCTTCTGCATGTGTGGCTGCATGCCTGCCTGCATCTGCATGTGTGGCTGCATGCCTGCCTGCTTCTGCATGTGTGGCTGCATGCCTGCCTGCATCTGCATGTGTGGCTGCATGCCTGCCTGCTTCTGCATGTGTGGCTGCATGCCTGCCTGCTTCTGCATGTGTGGCTGCATGCCTGCCTGCATCTGCATGTGTGGCTGCATGCCTGCCTGCTTCTGCATGTGTGGCTGCATGCCTGCCTGCATCTGCATGTGTGGCTGCATGCCTGCCTGCTTCTGCATGTGTGGCTGCATGCCTGCCTGCTTCTGCATGTGTGGCTGCATGCCTGCCTGCATCTGCATGTGTGGCTGCATGCCTGCCTGCATCTGCATGTGTGGCTGCATGCCTGCCTGCATCTGCATGTGTGGCTGCATGCCTGCCTGCATCTGCATGTGTGGCTGCATGCCTGCCTGCATCTGCATGTGTGGCTGCATGCCTGCCTGCATCTGCATGTGTGGCTGCATGCCTGCCTGCATCTGCATGTGTGGCTGCATGCCTGCCTGCATCTGCATGTGTGGCTGCATGCCTGCCTGCATCTGCATGTGTGGCTGCATGCCTGCCTGCATCTGCATGTGTGGCTGCATGCCTGCCTGCATCTGCATGTGTGGCTGCATGCCTGCCTGCTTCTGCATGTGTGGCTGCATGCCTGCCTGCTTCTGCATGTGTGGCTGCATGCCTGCCTGCATCTGCATGTGTGGCTGCATGCCTGCCTGCATCTGCATGTGTGGCTGCATGCCTGCCTGCATCTGCATGTGTGGCTGCATGCCTGCCTGCATCTGCATGTGTGGCTGCATGCCTGCCTGCATCTGCATGTGTGGCTGCATGCCTGCCTGCATCTGCATGTGTGGCTGCATGCCTGCCTGCATCTGCATGTGTGGCTGCATGCCTGCCTGCATCTGCATGTGTGGCTGCATGCCTGCCTGCATCTGCATGTGTGGCTGCATGCCTGCCTGCATCTGCATGTGTGGCTGCATGCCTGCCTGCATCTGCATGTGTGGCTGCATGCCTGCCTGCATCTGCATGTGTGGCTGCATGCCTGCCTGCATCTGCATGTGTGGCTGCATGCCTGCCTGCATCTGCATGTGTGGCTGCATGCCTGCCTGCATCTGCATGTGTGGCTGCATGCCTGCCTGCATCTGCATGTGTGGCTGCATGCCTGCCTGCATCTGCATGTGTGGCTGCATGCCTGCCTGCATCTGCATGTGTGGCTGCATGCCTGCCTGCATCTGCATGTGTGGCTGCATGCCTGCCTGCATCTGCATGTGTGGCTGCATGCCTGCCTGCATCTGCATGTGTGGCTGCATGCCTGCCTGCATCTGCATGTGTGGCTGCATGCCTGCCTGCATCTGCATGTGTGGCTGCATGCCTGCCTGCATCTGCATGTGTGGCTGCATGCCTGCCTGCATCTGCATGTGTGGCTGCATGCCTGCCTGCATCTGCATGTGTGGCTGCATGCCTGCCTGCATCTGCATGTGTGGCTGCATGCCTGCCTGCATCTGCATGTGTGGCTGCATGCCTGCCTGCATCTGCATGTGTGGCTGCATGCCTGCCTGCATCTGCATGTGTGGCTGCATGCCTGCCTGCATCTGCATGTGTGGCTGCATGCCTGCCTGCATCTGCATGTGTGGCTGCATGCCTGCCTGCATCTGCATGTGTGGCTGCATGCCTGCCTGCATCTGCATGTGTGGCTGCATGCCTGCCTGCATCTGCATGTGTGGCTGCATGCCTGCCTGCATCTGCATGTGTGGCTGCATGCCTGCCTGCATCTGCATGTGTGGGCATGCCTGCTGCATCTGCATGTGTGGCTGCATGCCTGCCTGCATCTGCATGTGTGGCTGCATGCCTGCCTGCATCTGCATGTGTGGCTGCATGCCTGCCTGCATCTGCATGTGTGGCTGCATGCCTGCCTGCATCTGCATGTGTGGCTGCATGCCTGCCTGCATCTGCATGTGTGGCTGCATGCCTGCCTGCATCTGCATGTGTGGCTGCATGCCTGCCTGCATCTGCATGTGTGGCTGCATGCCTGCCTGCATCTGCATGTGTGGCTGCATGCCTGCCTGCATCTGCATGTGTGGCTGCATGCCTGCCTGCATCTGCATGTGTGGCTGCATGCCTGCCTGCATCTGCATGTGTGGCTGCATGCCTGCCTGCATCTGCATGTGTGGCTGCATGCCTGCCTGCATCTGCATGTGTGGCTGCATGCCTGCCTGCATCTGCATGTGTGGCTGCATGCCTGCCTGCATCTGCATGTGTGGCTGCATGCCTGCCTGCATCTGCATGTGTGGCTGCATGCCTGCCTGCATCTGCATGTGTGGCTGCATGCCTGCCTGCATCTGCATGTGTGGCTGCATGCCTGCCTGCATCTGCATGTGTGGCTGCATGCCTGCCTGCATCTGCATGTGTGGCTGCATGCCTGCCTGCATCTGCATGTGTGGCTGCATGCCTGCCTGCATCTGCATGTGTGGCTGCATGCCTGCCTGCATCTGCATGTGTGGCTGCATGCCTGCCTGCATCTGCATGTGTGGCTGCATGCCTGCCTGCATCTGCATGTGTGGCTGCATGCCTGCCTGCATCTGCATGTGTGGCTGCATGCCTGCCTGCATCTGCATGTGTGGCTGCATGCCTGCCTGCATCTGCATGTGTGGCTGCATGCCTGCCTGCATCTGCATGTGTGGCTGCATGCCTGCCTGCATCTGCATGTGTGGCTGCATGCCTGCCTGCATCTGCATGTGTGGCTGCATGCCTGCCTGCATCTGCATGTGTGGCTGCATGCCTGCCTGCATCTGCATGTGTGGCTGCGCTGCATGCCTGCCTGCATCTGCATGTGTGGCTGCATGCCTGCCTGCATCTGCATGTGTGGCTGCATGCCTGCCTGCATCTGCATGTGTGGCTGCATGGCTGCTGGTATCTGCATGTGTGGCTGCATGGCTGCTGGTATCTGCATGTGTGGCTGCATGGCTGCTGGTATCTGCATGTGTGGCTGCATGGCTGCTGGTATCTGCATGTGTGGCTGCATGGCTGCTGGTATCTGCATGTGTGGCTGCATGGCTGCTGGTATCTGCATGTGTGGCTGCATGGCTGCTGGTATCTGCATGTGTGGCTGCATGGCTGCTGGTATCTGCATGTGTGGCTGCATGGTTGCTGGTATCTGCATGTGTGGCTGCATGGTTGCTGGTATCTGCATGTGTGGCTGCATGGTTGCTGGTATCTGCATGTGTGGCTGCATGCCTGCCTGCATCTGCATGTGTGGCTGCATGCCTGCCTGCATCTGCATGTGTGGCTGCATGCCTGCCTGCATCTGCATGTGTGGCTGCATGCCTGCCTGCATCTGCATGTGTGGCTGCATGCCTGCCTGCATCTGCATGTGTGGCTGCATGCCTGCCTGCATCTGCATGTGTGGCTGCATGCCTGCCTGCATCTGCATGTGTGGCTGCATGCCTGCCTGCATCTGCATGTGTGGCTGCATGCCTGCCTGCATCTGCATGTGTGGCTGCATGCCTGCCTGCATCTGCATGTGTGGCTGCATGCCTGCCTGCATCTGCATGTGTGGCTGCATGCCTGCCTGCATCTGCATGTGTGGCTGCATGCCTGCCTGCATCTGCATGTGTGGCTGCATGCCTGCCTGCATCTGCATGTGTGGCTGCATGCCTGCCTGCATCTGCATGTGTGGCTGCATGCCTGCCTGCATCTGCATGTGTGGCTGCATGCCTGCCTGCATCTGCATGTGTGGCTGCATGCCTGCCTGCATCTGCATGTGTGGCTGCATGGCTGCTGGTATCTGCATGTGTGGCTGCATGGCTGCTGGTATCTGCATGTGTGGCTGCATGGCTGCTGGTATCTGCATGTGTGGCTGCATGGCTGCTGGTATCTGCATGTGTGGCTGCATGGCTGCTGGTATCTGCATGTGTGGCTGCATGGCTGCTGGTATCTGCATGTGTGGCTGCATGGCTGCTGGTATCTGCATGTGTGGCTGCATGGCTGCTGGTATCTGCATGTGTGGCTGCATGGTTGCTGGTATCTGCATGTGTGGCTGCATGGTTGCTGGTATCTGCATGTGTGGCTGCATGGTTGCTGGTATCTGCATGTGTGGCTGCATGCCTGCCTGCATCTGCATGTGTGGCTGCATGCCTGCCTGCATCTGCATGTGTGGCTGCATGCCTGCCTGCATCTGCATGTGTGGCTGCATGCCTGCCTGCATCTGCATGTGTGGCTGCATGCCTGCCTGCATCTGCATGTGTGGCTGCATGCCTGCCTGCATCTGCATGTGTGGCTGCATGGCTGCTGGTATCTGCATGTGTGGCTGCATGGCTGCTGGTATCTGCATGTGTGGCTGCATGGCTGCTGGTATCTGCATGTGTGGCTGCATGGCTGCTGGTATCTGCATGTGTGGCTGCATGGCTGCTGGTATCTGCATGTGTGGCTGCATGGCTGCTGGTATCTGCATGTGTGGCTGCATGGCTGCTGGTATCTGCATGTGTGGCTGCATGGCTGCTGGTATCTGCATGTGTGGCTGCATGGTTGCTGGTATCTGCATGTGTGGCTGCATGGTTGCTGGTATCTGCATGTGTGGCTGCATGGTTGCTGGTATCTGCATGTGTGGCTGCATGCCTGCCTGCATCTGCATGTGTGGCTGCATGCCTGCCTGCATCTGCATGTGTGGCTGCATGCCTGCCTGCATCTGCATGTGTGGCTGCATGCCTGCCTGCATCTGCATGTGTGGCTGCATGCCTGCCTGCATCTGCATGTGTGGCTGCATGCCTGCCTGCATCTGCATGTGTGGCTGCATGCCTGCCTGCATCTGCATGTGTGGCTGCATGCCTGCCTGCATCTGCATGTGTGGCTGCATGCCTGCCTGCATCTGCATGTGTGGCTGCATGCCTGCCTGCATCTGCATGTGTGGCTGCATGCCTGCCTGCATCTGCATGTGTGGCTGCATGCCTGCCTGCATCTGCATGTGTGGCTGCATGCCTGCCTGCATCTGCATGTGTGGCTGCATGCCTGCCTGCATCTGCATGTGTGGCTGCATGCCTGCCTGCATCTGCATGTGTGGCTGCATGCCTGCCTGCATCTGCATGTGTGGCTGCATGCCTGCCTGCATCTGCATGTGTGGCTGCATGCCTGCCTGCATCTGCATGTGTGGCTGCATGCCTGCCTGCATCTGCATGTGTGGCTGCATGGCTGCTGGTATCTGCATGTGTGGCTGCATGGCTGCTGGTATCTGCATGTGTGGCTGCATGGCTGCTGGTATCTGCATGTGTGGCTGCATGGCTGCTGGTATCTGCATGTGTGGCTGCATGGCTGCTGGTATCTGCATGTGTGGCTGCATGGCTGCTGGTATCTGCATGTGTGGCTGCATGGCTGCTGGTATCTGCATGTGTGGCTGCATGGCTGCTGGTATCTGCATGTGTGGCTGCATGGTTGCTGGTATCTGCATGTGTGGCTGCATGGTTGCTGGTATCTGCATGTGTGGCTGCATGGTTGCTGGTATCTGCATGTGTGGCTGCATGCCTGCCTGCATCTGCATGTGTGGCTGCATGCCTGCCTGCATCTGCATGTGTGGCTGCATGCCTGCCTGCATCTGCATGTGTGGCTGCATGCCTGCCTGCATCTGCATGTGTGGCTGCATGCCTGCCTGCATCTGCATGTGTGGCTGCATGCCTGCCTGCATCTGCATGTGTGGCTGCATGGCTGCTGGTATCTGCATGTGTGGCTGCATGGCTGCTGGTATCTGCATGTGTGGCTGCATGGCTGCTGGTATCTGCATGTGTGGCTGCATGGCTGCTGGTATCTGCATGTGTGGCTGCATGGCTGCTGGTATCTGCATGTGTGGCTGCATGGCTGCTGGTATCTGCATGTGTGGCTGCATGGCTGCTGGTATCTGCATGTGTGGCTGCATGGCTGCTGGTATCTGCATGTGTGGCTGCATGGTTGCTGGTATCTGCATGTGTGGCTGCATGGTTGCTGGTATCTGCATGTGTGGCTGCATGGTTGCTGGTATCTGCATGTGTGGCTGCATGCCTGCCTGCATCTGCATGTGTGGCTGCATGCCTGCCTGCATCTGCATGTGTGGCTGCATGCCTGCCTGCATCTGCATGTGTGGCTGCATGCCTGCCTGCATCTGCATGTGTGGCTGCATGCCTGCCTGCATCTGCATGTGTGGCTGCATGCCTGCCTGCATCTGCATGTGTGGCTGCATGGTTGCTGGTATCTGCATGTGTGGCTGCATGGTTGCTGGTATCTGCATGTGTGGCTGCATGGCTGCTGGTATCTGCATGTGTGGCTGCATGGCTGCTGGTATCTGCATGTGTGGCTGCATGGCTGCTGGTATCTGCATGTGTGGCTGCATGGCTGCTGGTATCTGCATGTGTGGCTGCATGGCTGCTGGTATCTGCATGTGTGGCTGCATGGCTGCTGGTATCTGCATGTGTGGCTGCATGGCTGCTGGTATCTGCATGTGTGGCTGCATGGCTGCTGGTATCTGCATGTGTGGCTGCATGGCTGCTGGTATCTGCATGTGTGGCTGCATGGTTGCTGGTATCTGCATGTGTGGCTGCATGGTTGCTGGTATCTGCATGTGTGGCTGCATGGTTGCTGGTATCTGCATGTGTGGCTGCATGGCTGCTGGTATCTGCATGTGTGGCTGCATGGCTGCTGGTATCTGCATGTGTGGCTGCATGGCTGCCTGCATCTGCATGTGTGGCTGCATGCCTGCCTGCATCTGCATGTGTGGCTGCATGCCTGCCTGCATCTGCATGTGTGGCTGCATGCCTGCCTGCATCTGCATGTGTGGCTGCATGCCTGCCTGCATCTGCATGTGTGGCTGCATGCCTGCCTGCATCTGCATGTGTGGCTGCATGCCTGCCTGCATCTGCATGTGTGGCTGCATGGCTGCTGGTATCTGCATGTGTGGCTGCATGGCTGCTGGTATCTGCATGTGTGGCTGCATGGCTGCTGGTATCTGCATGTGTGGCTGCATGGCTGCTGGTATCTGCATGTGTGGCTGCATGGCTGCTGGTATCTGCATGTGTGGCTGCATGGCTGCTGGTATCTGCATGTGTGGCTGCATGGCTGCTGGTATCTGCATGTGTGGCTGCATGGTTGCTGGTATCTGCATGTGTGGCTGCATGGTTGCTGGTATCTGCATGTGTGGCTGCATGGTTGCTGGTATCTGCATGTGTGGCTGCATGCCTGCCTGCATCTGCATGTGTGGCTGCATGCCTGCCTGCATCTGCATGTGTGGCTGCATGCCTGCCTGCATCTGCATGTGTGGCTGCATGCCTGCCTGCATCTGCATGTGTGGCTGCATGCCTGCTGCATGTGTGGCTGCATGGCTGCTGGTAATCTGCATGTGTGGCTGCATGGCTGCTGGTATCTGCATGTGTGGCTGCATGGCTGCTGGTATCTGCATGTGTGGCTGCATGGCTGCTGTATCTGCATGTGTGGCTGCATGGCTGCTGGTATCTGCATGTGTGGCTGCATGGCTGCTGGTATCTGCATGTGTGGCTGCATGGCTGCTGGTATCTGCATGTGTGGCTGCATGGCTGCTGGTATCTGCATGTGTGGCTGCATGGCTTGCTGGTATCTGCATGTGTGGCTGCATGGCTGCTGGTATCTGCATGTGTGGCTGCATGGCTGCTGGTATCTGCATGTGTGGCTGCATGGCTGCTGGTATCTGCATGTGTGGCTGCATGGCTGCTGGTATCTGCATGTGTGGCTGCATGGCTGCTGGTATCTGCATGTGTGGCTGCATGGCTGCTGGTATCTGCATGTGTGGCTGCATGGCTGCTGGTATCTGCATGTGTGGCTGCATGGCTGCTGGTATCTGCATGTGTGGCTGCATGGCTTGCTGGTATCTGCATGTGTGGCTGCATGGCTGCTGGTATCTGCATGTGTGGCTGCATGGCTGCTGGTATCTGCATGTGTGGCTGCATTTGTGGCTGCATGCTGCTGGTATCTGCATGTGTGGCTGCATGGCTGCTGGTATCTGCATGTGTGGCTGCATGGCTGCTGGTATCTGCATGTGTGGCTGCATGGCTGCTGGTATCTGCATGTGTGGCTGCATGGCTGCTGGTATCTGCATGTGTGGCTGCATGGCTGCTGGTATCTGCATGTGTGGCTGCATGGCTGCTGGTATCTGCATGTGTGGCTGCATGGCTGCTGGTATCTGCATGTGTGGCTGCATGGCTGCTGGTATCTGCATGTGTGGCTGCATGGCTGCTGGTATCTGCATGTGTGGCTGCATGGCTGCTGGTATCTGCATGTGTGGCTGCATGGCTGCTGGTATCTGCATGTGTGGCTGCATGGCTGCTGGTATCTGCATGTGTGGCTGCATGGCTGCTGGTATCTGCATGTGTGGCTGCATGGCTGCTGGTATCTGCATGTGTGGCTGCATGGCTGCTGGTATCTGCATGTGTGGCTGCATGGCTGCTGGTATCTGCATGTGTGGCTGCATGGCTGCTGGTATCTGCATGTGTGGCTGCATGGCTGCTGGTATCTGCATGTGTGGCTGCATGGCTGCTGGTATCTGCATGTGTGGCTGCATGGCTGCTGGTATCTGCATGTGTGGCTGCATGGCTGCTGGTATCTGCATGTGTGGCTGCATGGCTGCTGGTATCTGCATGTGTGGCTGCATGGCTGCTGGTATCTGCATGTGTGGCTGCATGGCTGCTGGTATCTGCATGTGTGGCTGCATGGCTGCTGGTATCTGCATGTGTGGCTGCATGGCTGCTGGTATCTGCATGTGTGGCTGCATGGCTGCTGGTATCTGCATGTGTGGCTGCATGGCTGCTGGTATCTGCATGTGTGGCTGCATGGCTGCTGGTATCTGCATGTGTGGCTGCATGGCTGCTGGTATCTGCATGTGTGGCTGCATGGCTGCTGGTATCTGCATGTGTGGCTGCATGCTGCTGGTATCTGCATGTGTGGCTGCATGGCTGCTGGTATCTGCATGTGTGGCTGCATGGCTGCTGGTATCTGCATGTGTGGCTGCATGGCTGCTGGTATCTGCATGTGTGGCTGCATGGCTGCTGGTATCTGCATGTGTGGCTGCATGGCTGCTGGTATCTGCATGTGTGGCTGCATGGCTGCTGGTATCTGCATGTGTGGCTGCATGGCTTGCTGGTATCTGCATGTGTGGCTGCATGGCTGCTGGTATCTGCATGTGTGGCTGCATGGCTGCTGGTATCTGCATGTGTGGCTGCATGGCTGCTGGTATCTGCATGTGTGGCTGCATGGCTGCTGGTATCTGCATGTGTGGCTGCATGGCTGCTGGTATCTGCATGTGTGGCTGCATGGCTGCTGGTATCTGCATGTGTGGCTGCATGGCTGCTGGTATCTGCATGTGTGGCTGCATGGCTGCTGGTATCTGCATGTGTGGCTGCATGGCTGCTGGTATCTGCATGTGTGGCTGCATGGCTGCTGGTATCTGCATGTGTGGCTGCATGGCTGCTGGTATCTGCATGTGTGGCTGCATGGCTGCTGGTATCTGCATGTGTGGCTGCATGGCTGCTGGTATCTGCATGTGTGGCTGCATGGCTGCTGGTATCTGCATGTGTGGCTGCATGGCTGCTGGTATCTGCATGTGTGGCTGCATGGCTGCTGGTATCTGCATGTGTGGCTGCATGGCTGCTGGTATCTGCATGTGTGGCTGCATGGCTGCTGGTATCTGCATGTGTGGCTGCATGGCTGCTGGTATCTGCATGTGTGGCTGCATGGCTGCTGGTATCTGCATGTGTGGCTGCATGGTTGCTGGTATCTGCATGTGTGGCTGCATGGCTGCTGGTATCTGCATGTGTGGCTGCATGGCTGCTGGTATCTGCATGTGTGGCTGCATGGCTGCTGGTATCTGCATGTGTGGCTGCATGGCTGCTGGTATCTGCATGTGTGGCTGCATGGCTGCTGGTATCTGCATGTGTGGCTGCATGGCTGCTGGTATCTGCATGTGTGGCTGCATGGCTGCTGGTATCTGCATGTGTGGCTGCATGGCTGCTGGTATCTGCATGTGTGGCTGCATGGCTTGCTGGTATCTGCATGTGTGGCTGCATGGTTGCTGGTATCTGCATGTGTGGCTGCATGGCTTGCTGGTATCTGCATGTGTGGCTGCATGGCTGCTGGTATCTGCATGTGTGGCTGCATGGCTGCTGGTATCTGCATGTGTGGCTGCATGGCTGCTGGTATCTGCATGTGTGGCTGCATGGCTGCTGGTATCTGCATGTGTGGCTGCATGGCTGCTGGTATCTGCATGTGTGGCTGCATGGCTGCTGGTATCTGCATGTGTGGCTGCATGGCTGCTGGTATCTGCATGTGTGGCTGCATGGCTGCTGGTATCTGCATGTGTGGCTGCATGGCTGCTGGTATCTGCATGTGTGGCTGCATGGCTGCTGGTATCTGCATGTGTGGCTGCATGGCTGCTGGTATCTGCATGTGTGGCTGCATGGCTGCTGGTATCTGCATGTGTGGCTGCATGGCTGCTGGTATCTGCATGTGTGGCTGCATGGCTGCTGGTATCTGCATGTGGCTGCATGGCTGCTGGTATCTGCATGTTGGCTGCATGGCTGCTGGTATCTGCATGTGTGGCTGCATGGCTGCTGGTATCTGCATGTGTGGCTGCATGGCTGCTGGTATCTGCATGTGTGGCTGCATGGCTGCTGGTATCTGCATGTGTGGCTGCATGGCTGCTGGTATCTGCATGTGTGGCTGCATGGCTGCTGGTATCTGCATGTGTGGCTGCATGGCTGCTGGTATCTGCATGTGTGGCTGCATGGCTGCTGGTATCTGCATGTGTGGCTGCATGGCTGCTGGTATCTGCATGTGTGGCTGCATGGCTGCTGGTATCTGCATGTGTGGCTGCATGGCTGCTGGTATCTGCATGTGTGGCTGCATGGCTGCTGTATCTGCATGTGTGGCTGCATGGCTGCTGGTATCTGCATGTGTGGCTGCATGGCTGCTGGTATCTGCATGTGTGCTGCATGGCTGCTGGTATCTGCATGTGTGGCTGCATGGCTGCTGGTATCTGCATGTGTGGCTGCATGGCTGCTGGTATCTGCATGTGTGGCTGCATGGCTGCTGGTATCTGCATGTGTGGCTGCATGGCTGCTGGTATCTGCATGTGTGGCTGCATGGCTGCTGGTATCTGCATGTGTGGCTGCATGGCTGCTGGTATCTGCATGTGTGGCTGCATGGCTGCTGGTATCTGCATGTGTGGCTGCATGGCTGCTGGTATCTGCATGTGTGGCTTGCATGGCTGCTGGTATCTGCATGTGTGGCTGCATGGCTGCTGGTATCTGCATGTGTGGCTGCATGGCTGCTGGTATCTGCATGTGTGGCTGCATGGCTGCTGGTATCTGCATGTGTGGCTGCATGGCTGCTGGTATCTGCATGTGTGGCTGCATGGCTGCTGGTATCTGCATGTGTGGCTGCATGGCTGCTGGTATCTGCATGTGTGGCTGCATGGCTGCTGGTATCTGCATGTGTGGCTGCATGGCTGCTGGTATCTGCATGTGTGGCTGCATGGCTGCTGGTATCTGCATGTGTGGCTGCATGGTTGTGGGCTGCATGGCCTGCTGGTATCTGCATGTGTGGCTGCATGGCTGCTGGTATCTGCATGTGTGGCTGCATGGCTGCTGGTATCTGCATGTGTGGCTGCATGGCTGCTGGTATCTGCATGTGTGGCTGCATGGCTGCTGGTATCTGCATGTGTGGCTGCATGGCTGCTGGTATCTGCATGTGTGGCTGCATGGCTGCTGGTATCTGCATGTGTGGCTGCATGGCTGCTGGTATCTGCATGTGTGGCTGCATGGCTGCTGGTATCTGCATGTGTGGCTGCATGGCTGCTGGTATCTGCATGTGTGGCTGCATGGCTGCTGGTATCTGCATGTGTGGCTGCATGGCTGCTGGTATCTGCATGTGTGGCTGCATGGCTGCTGGTATCTGCATGTGTGGCTGCATGGCTGCTGGTATCTGCATGTGTGGCTGCATGGCTGCTGGTATCTGCATGTGTGGCTGCATGGCTGCTGGTATCTGCATGTGTGGCTGCATGGCTGCTGGTATCTGCATGTGTGGCTGCATGGCCTGCTGGTATCTGCATGTGTGGCTGCATGGCTGCTGGTATCTGCATGTGTGGCTGCATGGCTGCTGGTATCTGCATGTGTGGCTGCATGGCTGCTGTATCTGCATGTGTGGCTGCATGGCTGCTGGTATCTGCATGTGTGGCTGCATGGCTGCTGGTATCTGCATGTGTGGCTGCATGGCTGCTGGTATCTGCATGTGTGGCTGCATGGCTGCTGGTATCTGCATGTGTGGCTGCATGGCTGCTGGTATCTGCATGTGTGGCTGCATGGCTGCTGGTATCTGCATGTGTGGCTGCATGCTGCTGGTATCTGCATGTGTGGCTGCATGGCTGCTGGTATCTGCATGTGTGGCTGCATGGCTGCTGGTATCTGCATGTGTGGCTGCATGGCTGCTGGTATCTGCATGTGTGGCTGCATGCTGCTGGTATCTGCATGTGTGCTGCATGCTGGTATCTGCATGTGTGGCTGCATGGCTGCTGGTATCTGCATGTGTGGCTGCATGGCTGCTGGTATCTGCATGTGTGGCTGCATGGCTGCTGGTATCTGCATGTGTGGCTGCATGGCTGCTGGTATCTGCATGTGTGGCTGCATGGCTGCTGGTATCTGCATGTGTGGCTGCATGGCTGCTGGTATCTGCATGTGTGGCTGCATGGCTGCTGGTATCTGCATGTGTGGCTGCATGGCTGCTGGTATCTGCATGTGTGGCTGCATGGCTGCTGGTATCTGCATGTGTGGCTGCATGGCTGCTGGTATCTGCATGTGTGGCTGCAATGGCTGCTGGTATCTGCATGTGTGGCTGCATGGCTGCTGGTATCTGCATGTGTGGCTGCATGGCTGCTGGTATCTGCATGTGTGGCTGCATGGCTGCTGGTATCTGCATGTGTGGCTGCATGGCTGCTGGTATCTGCATGTGTGGCTGCATGGCTGCTGGTATCTGCATGTGTGGCTGCATGGCTGCTGGTATCTGCATGTGTGGCTGCATGGCTGCTGGTATCTGCATGTGTGGCTGCATGGCTGCTGGTATCTGCATGTGTGGCTGCATGGCTGCTGGTATCTGCATGTGTGGCTGCATTGGCTGCTGGTATCTGCATGTGTGGCTGCATGGCTGCTGTATCTGCATGTGTGGCTGCATGGCTGCTGGTATCTGCATGTGTGGCTGCATGGCTGCTGGTATCTGCATGTGTGGCTGCATGGCTGCTGGTATCTGCATGTGTGGCTGCATGGCTGCTGGTATCTGCATGTGTGGCTGCATGGCTGCTGGTATCTGCATGTGTGGCTGCATGGCCTGCTGGTATCTGCATGTGTGGCTGCATGGCTGCTGGTATCTGCATGTGTGGCTGCATGGCTGCTGGTATCTGCATGTGTGGCTGCATGCTGCTGGTATCTGCATGTGTGGCTGCATGGCTGCTGGTATCTGCATGTGTGGCTGCATGGCTGCTGGTATCTGCATGTGTGGCTGCATGGCTGCTGGTATCTGCATGTGTGGCTGCATGGCTGCTGGTATCTGCATGTGTGGCTGCATGGCTGCTGGTATCTGCATGTGTGGCTGCATGGCTGCTGGTATCTGCATGTGTGGCTGCATGGCTGCTGGTATCTGCATGTGTGGCTGCATGGCTGCTGGTATCTGCATGTGTGGCTGCATGGCTGCTGGTATCTGCATGTGTGGCTGCATGGCTGCTGGTATCTGCATGTGTGGCTGCATGGCTGCTGGTATCTGCATGTGTGGCTGCATGGCTGCTGGTATCTGCATGTGTGGCTGCATGGCTGCTGGTATCTGCATGTGTGGCTGCATGGCTGCTGGTATCTGCATGTGTGGCTGCATGGCTGCTGGTATCTGCATGTGTGGCTGCATGGCTGCTGGTATCTGCATGTGTGGCTGCATGGCTGCTGGTATCTGCATGTGTGGCTGCATGGCTGCTGGTATCTGCATGTGTGGCTGCATGGCTGCTGGTATCTGCATGTGTGGCTGCATGGCTGCTGGTATCTGCATGTGTGGCTGCATGGCTGCTGGTATCTGCATGTGTGGCTGCATGGCTGCTGGTATCTGCATGTGTGGCTGCATGGCTGCTGGTATCTGCATGTGTGGCTGCATGGCTGCTGGTATCTGCATGTGTGGCTGCATGGCTGCTGGTATCTGCATGTGTGGCTGCATGGCTGCTGGTATCTGCATGTGTGGCTGCATGGCTGCTGGTATCTGCATGTGTGGCTGCATGGCTGCTGGTATCTGCATGTGTGGCTGCATGGCTGCTGGTATCTGCATGTGTGGCTGCATGGCTGCTGGTATCTGCATGTGTGGCTGCATGGCTGCTGGTATCTGCATGTGTGGCTGCATGGCTGCTGGTATCTGCATGTGTGGCTGCATGGCTGCTGGTATCTGCATGTGTGGCTGCATGGCTGCTGGTATCTGCATGTGTGGCTGCATGGCTGCTGGTATCTGCATGTGTGGCTGCATGGCTGCTGGTATCTGCATGTGTGGCTGCATGGCTGCTGGTATCTGCATGTGTGGCTGCATGGCTGCTGGTATCTGCATGTGTGGCTGCATGGCTGCTGGTATCTGCATGTGTGGCTGCATGGCTGCTGGTATCTGCATGTGTGGCTGCATGGCTGCTGGTATCTGCATGTGTGGCTGCATGGCTGCTGGTATCTGCATGTGTGGCTGCATGGCTGCTGGTATCTGCATGTGTGGCTGCATGGCTGCTGGTATCTGCATGTGTGGCTGCATGGCTGCTGGTATCTGCATGTGTGGCTGCATGGCTGCTGGTATCTGCATGTGTGGCTGCATGGCTGCTGGTATCTGCATGTGTGGCTGCATGGCTGCTGGTATCTGCATGTGTGGCTGCATGGCTGCTGGTATCTGCATGTTGTGGCTGCATGGCTGCTGGTATCTGCATGTGTGGCTGCATGGCTGCTGGTATCTGCATGTGTGGCTGCATGGCTGCTGGTATCTGCATGTGTGGCTGCATGGCTGCTGGTATCTGCATGTGTGGCTGCATGGCTGCTGGTATCTGCATGTGTGGCTGCATGGCTGCTGGTATCTGCATGTGTGGCTGCATGGCTGCTGGTATCTGCATGTGTGGCTGCATGGCTGCTGGTATCTGCATGTGTGGCTGCATGGCTGCTGGTATCTGCATGTGTGGCTGCATGGCTGCTGGTATCTGCATGTGTGGCTGCATGGCTGCTGGTATCTGCATGTGTGGCTGCATGGCTGCTGGTATCTGCATGTGTGGCTGCATGGCTGCTGGTATCTGCATGTGTGGCTGCATGGCTGCTGGTATCTGCATGTGTGGCTGCATGGCTGCTGGTATCTGCATGTGTGGCTGCATGGCTGCTGGTATCTGCATGTGTGGCTGCATGGCTGCTGGTATCTGCATGTGTGGCTGCATGGCTGCTGGTATCTGCATGTGTGGCTGCATGGCTGCTGGTATCTGCATGTGTGGCTGCATGGCTGCTGGTATCTGCATGTGTGGCTGCATGGCTGCTGGTATCTGCATGTGTGGCTGCATGGCTGCTGGTATCTGCATGTGTGGCTGCATGGCCTGCTGGTATCTGCATGTGTGGCTGCATGGCTGCTGGTATCTGCATGTGTGGCTGCATGGCTGCTGGTATCTGCATGTGTGGCTGCATGGCTGCTGGTATCTGCATGTGTGGCTGCATGGCTGCTGGTATCTGCATGTGTGGCTGCATGGCTGCTGGTATCTGCATGTGTGGCTGCATGGCTGCTGGTATCTGCATGTGTGGCTGCATGGCTGCTGGTATCTGCATGTGTGGCTGCATGGCTGCTGGTATCTGCATGTGTGGCTGCATGGCTGCTGGTATCTGCATGTGTGGCTGCATGGCTGCTGGTATCTGCATGTGTGGCTGCATGGCTGCTGGTATCTGCATGTGTGGCTGCATGGCTGCTGGTATCTGCATGTGTGGCTGCATGGCTGCTGGTATCTGCATGTGTGGCTGCATGGCTGCTGGTATCTGCATGTGTGGCTGCATGGCTGCTGGTATCTGCATGTGTGGCTGCATGGCTGCTGGTATCTGCATGTGTGGCTGCATGGCTGCTGGTATCTGCATGTGTGGCTGCATGGCTGCTGGTATCTGCATGTGTGGCTGCATGGCTGCTGGTATCTGCATGTGTGGCTGCATGGCTGCTGGTATCTGCATGTGTGGCTGCATGGCTGCTGGTATCTGCATGTGTGGCTGCATGGCTGCTGGTATCTGCATGTGTGGCTGCATGGCTGCTGGTATCTGCATGTGTGGCTGCATGGCTGCTGGTATCTGCATGTGTGGCTGCATGGCTGCTGGTATCTGCATGTGTGGCTGCATGGCTGCTGGTATCTGCATGTGTGGCTGCATGGCTGCTGGTATCTGCATGTGTGGCTGCATGGCTGCTGGTATCTGCATGTGTGGCTGCATGGCTGCTGGTATCTGCATGTGTGGCTGCATGGCTGCTGGTATCTGCATGTGTGGCTGCATGGCTGCTGGTATCTGCATGTGTGGCTGCATGGCTGCTGGTATCTGCATGTGTGGCTGCATGGCTGCTGGTATCTGCATGTGTGGCTGCATGGCTGCTGGTATCTGCATGTGTGGCTGCATGGCTGCTGGTATCTGCATGTGTGGCTGCATGGCTGCTGGTATCTGCATGTGTGGCTGCATGGCTGCTGGTATCTGCATGTGTGGCTGCATGGCTGCTGGTATCTGCATGTGTGGCTGCATGGCTGCTGGTATCTGCATGTGTGGCTGCATGGCTGCTGGTATCTGCATGTGTGGCTGCATGGCTGCTGGTATCTGCATGTGTGGCTGCATGGCTGCTGGTATCTGCATGTGTGGCTGCATGGCTGCTGGTATCTGCATGTGTGGCTGCATGGCTGCTGGTATCTGCATGTGTGGCTGCATGGCTGCTGGTATCTGCATGTGTGGCTGCATGGCTGCTGGTATCTGCATGTGTGGCTGCATGGCTGCTGGTATCTGCATGTGTGGCTGCATGGCTGCTGGTATCTGCATGTGTGGCTGCATGGCTGCTGGTATCTGCATGTGTGGCTGCATGGCTGCTGGTATCTGCATGTGTGGCTGCATGGCTGCTGGTATCTGCATGTGTGGCTGCATGGCTGCTGGTATCTGCATGTGTGGCTGCATGGCTGCTGGTATCTGCATGTGTGGCTGCATGGCTGCTGGTATCTGCATGTGTGGCTGCATGGCTGCTGGTATCTGCATGTGTGGCTGCATGGCTGCTGGTATCTGCATGTGTGGCTGCATGGCTGCTGGTATCTGCATGTGTGGCTGCATGGCTGCTGGTATCTGCATGTGTGGCTGCATGGCTGCTGGTATCTGCATGTGTGGCTGCATGGCTGCTGGTATCTGCATGTGTGGCTGCATGGCTGCTGGTATCTGCATGTGTGGCTGCATGGCTGCTGGTATCTGCATGTGTGGCTGCATGGCTGCTGGTATCTGCATGTGTGGCTGCATGGCTGCTGGTATCTGCATGTGTGGCTGCATGGCTGCTGGTATCTGCATGTGTGGCTGCATGGCTGCTGGTATCTGCATGTGTGGCTGCATGGCTGCTGGTATCTGCATGTGTGGCTGCATGGCTGCTGGTATCTGCATGTGTGGCTGCATGCTGCTGGTATCTGCATGTGTGGCTGCATGGCCTGCTGGTATCTGCATGTGTGGCTGCATGGCTGCTGGTATCTGCATGTGTGGCTGCATGGCTGCTGGTATCTGCATGTGTGGCTGCATGGCTGCTGGTATCTGCA